AGGGGAGGCAGCGGTGTCTGGGGAGGGCGGGCAGGGTGTGCGAGTGGCTGCTGAGGTACCTGCGGGGACGTGCCCGTGACACCGGCGGGGACATTTCCCCCCAGCGTCCTGGGCACTCGTAGTGCACTGTGGGGCTGCTGGCGATTAAATGGCCAGATTTGCTTAGAAATGGAGTTATCACGGAGGGCCGTGTGCGGCTCGCCCTGAGAGGGATTTGCCGTGACACCCGCCCTGTGACTGGCCACAAACCTGCCCCACAGCTGAGATCGGGGGCTCCTTTGGTGCCTCGGAAAGCCTTGTGTGACTGACCCTGCCTCCCTGCCAGCCCTTTTTCCCGAGACACCATCCTGCTCGGCAGGTTTGCTTTTGTGCAAGGAAAATAGCTCTGAAGAGCTGAAATTCTGTGTCGTTGCAGTATATGTGCTATAGGCTGATAATATATTTTTCATTATGTCTTGCAATGCAAGTAGTTTTAAGTCTTCAAAGTCATTTTTCTAATCTCTATGCCTGCTTTATAAATAACACAAAACTTTTTGAGTCTTTCCCGTTAAAGCACACTTCTCTGTCTATGAATGATTGCATGTACCAGTCACTTAATTCTGATCTTTCTGCACTTTCTGTATCCTGTACAAGTTCATCCTGCTCCGGTGAATAATGATGGAGACCTGGAGTGTCTCACTGTAACTTACCACAATGTAACTACAAGAGAAAATTTTTAATCCTTCTTCAGAGCTAAGATTCTTGGTGCTTGTGTATCAAAATAGTCTTGAAATATTGGAATAGTTTTCTGTTTGTAGAACCCAATGACAGTGACCTGATTCAGATTGGTCTTGATAAGCCTCATACCTTAAATTTAGTGCTGAGCTCTTGTCTTAAAATGCATCACTGTTTATATGTCCCAAATTTACAGTCAGATTTTGCTTGCCTTAATAAAGAGCTCAGGGTGTTGTTTGGAACACAAATGGGAAGGCACTTCTAAATGTTACTATTTTCCATGTGAAATTAGTAACTCTGTTTTTGGAGTTCACTGATCTGTTAAATTATGTACATGGGATTTAAGATTTCTAGCAATTTGGAATAGAATGAATGAGCTCCTTAAAGAAATTGCTGATTCCAGTGTTCAGCAGAAAAAAGCAATCCCCATTCAATGTATGTATAATTGTTTAAAAGATTTCTGATTTATATCTGGAGTTTTCAAGTAATTATAAAACCATACTGCCCCTGTTATTTTGACCAAAATTCTGCTAAAAATGCAAAATTTAAGTTCTTGAGCAAATTGAGAGATTCCTTCTGTGTCTCAACCCTGTTCTGTGAAGTGGTATGTAGTAATGAATCTGACATTTTCATATGTGCTCAGATTTGAGAACATTTTGAGTGTGTGAGAAGACTGGTTGATAATGAGAAGCTGAAGAATCAAACTGTAAGGGTGAAATATTAAACATTGTGTAACATCTGTAATTTTTGGGGGTTCATTCTTTACTGCCATGAGGTAAATAATGTTCATGCAGCCAATGCAGAAACTCAGAGGTTTATTAAAATGATATTGCTGTTAAGCTATTTACTATTCTAGTCACAAAGGTAACAGGTACTACCTGTGCCAGAGAGAGCAGGTCATGTGCAGTCATCAAACCCAATCTTCCCTGCTTTGGAGTGAGGTGTCATATTGGAGCTTTGATGTTGCAGGAGGGAAGTTCTCTGAGCTAAATCCTCTGAGCTAAATTCTCTGAAATATTGCTGTATTTTGGGGGTATTGATTTATATTCAAGGATGCCTTTTTTCCCCGCCTGTAAAGAGTACTGCTATAAGTAATTCCAAGATTCTCAGAATTCTGCACTTTGGGAGATTTTTTGTCTTTGTATTCCTTTGCACTAAGAACATACATAAGTGGTGATTAACACCGGTGACTGACTGAGGGTTTTTTAATCTGTATTAAATTTCTCAGTATGGAAGATTGTTCAGACTAGACTTTTCATCTGCCTTCTATTTGGGAAGTGACTTCTGAGGGAACATTTTAGCCTAGTCTTCAACTCTCTGGTTTCTAATGCTGTCATAGGTGCTGAGTGCACCTATGAATATCTGATTGTCATACCATAATAACTAGACTGTTTGTGTGTAATGGTATTTTTAATGCATAGTAGTGATTTTATTAATTTCTGCATGTGTGGCCTTTTCCTGGTTTTATAATTTGTGCATCTATTAAATTTAGTAATTAGACTGAGTGGTGACGTAAGATTTGAATTCGTTTTTATTTCAGGCTCATTTAACTGTTTCCCTGTAGTAAGTTTAGTGCGAATGGAACCTCAACTAAATTTTAGTCATCAGTGCTTCAGTTAATGTCTAGGTTCAATTAATTCATTAATATTGCTGTGGGAAATTTTTTTTTAGAAGAAATTCCTTTTCCTTAGCTCAGATATTTTCTTGCACGAGTAAATTAAGAGCAAGGTGGATGTGGGTACAAAAATACTCATTCTCATGGGTCTCAGCTGAAGTTTCACTACTATCATGGAATTTACATCCACAGTTCTAAAGAAAACTGGATTATCCCATGGCATGAAACTGGTGAGCATATCTTAAGGTTTTTTGATGGCCAACACAATATGAGAAAAGTCTCTCATATCCCTGCTTTCTGAACACTGTGCTCGAGTTGTCCATCAGCCAGGCAGGAGTGGGTTTGTTAGATGGTTCTTGGCCAAAGCAGATACTCTCCAAGATCATCAGTCCTCAGAGCAGATCTGCTATTTGGGGAGGTCTCTTCTCTGTGACTTTTATTGGTCTGAAAGCAGAACTGGGGGTCAGTGGCAGACCTTTTGTCTTCAGACAGTTGTCGAGTAGGAAACTTCATAGGCAAAACATTCAGCAGTGTTGAGTTTAGGGCAGAAACCCCTGCAAGTGCCAAGATTTGCACCTTTGTGGCTGTGCAGAGTGGTGTGGATACAGGTGCAGGGTCATGTTTACCTTGGCATTTCTTCAGTGAATTGGATTGTATTCAGGCTTGACTTCTTGTCTCTGACACTCCCCAAGACCTCTGTTAACTGCTGGGAAAGTTGTAACGGATATGGCTCTTTGAAAGGTGTTGTATTCACAAGTTTGTCTGCCAGTAATTCTAATTTTTTTCTAAAAAGGAGTTATTCTTTATAAAAGCAGTCACAGTAAATATTCTAGTTCTATGCAATTTTCTTTCCATTCTGGTTTTCAGTGGTTATAAATAACACATGAAATGACTTTCAAGGTAGAAAGCAGGAATCCATTTTGAAATATTCTATAAAATAAAGAGTGATTTATGGTTTCATATGATTTTGGCTGAAAGCACTCGGGCTTTGCCAGGTCATCAAAGTCCTGTCAGGAGAATCTATTATTTATTGTTCGATATGCTGGGAGTGGTGTAAGTACTTTATGTTTATCTTATGTAAGTGTAGTGTGTTAGGAAAAATCACTCCCAGATACTAACACAATTTTAAAAATATACCTCACAAAACTAACCCAGATATTACAGATGTGAATTTTAAAGTAAATACTGAGGATTGGTATAAAAAAATAATAATTCCTCATAGTTTTATTGTTGCAGTGTATTTTTAGAATGTGACGAAAATATTTCCTAATACATCTTCTGGGCTGATATTTTGGTTATGTTACCTTATATAACTGCACAGTCTTCAGTTTATATCAACAACTGTTTAGAGTTGATGAAAGCTTAATGGAAAACCAGCTGATGATGGATATTTTTTGATGTCAGTGGTCATTGTCACTGTGGTGGACTAACACAATGGCACTGACTTGCAGTGTTGATGTCTGGGAGGAAATAAATAGGCTCAAGTTTTTATAATCATTTGTAGCTAAGTCATTGCCTGTCCATTTAAATGTCAAACAAAATGAACACTGACTCACAGTCCTGTCCCATGTCCTCTCTGTCTGTGTCCCCCTCTCATTTTTTCAGTATTCTCTACATGTAAATATACCTTTATCTTCTTTACTGATTATTTTAACCTGACTGAAATGGAGGGGTTGTGTTCTAGCCTGGCTTCCAGTCTGAGTTTTGGGGTGTAGCAGAAGTGCTGTTGTAGCTGCCTGGGAGGTTTAGGCTTCCACTGGTATCTCAGGCAGGTTTCTTTCCCAGATACCATGCAATGTCCCTGGCTGCTCTTGTGGGAAACTCACTGTTCTGTGAACTCTTTGTTGTCCTTCTCAGCCTGTTTGTGTTGTGCAGCTTTTCCAGATTATATTGCTGATCTTACAGAATCAGAGCCTGTAGGACTCCTGTGACTCTACTGTGAAAAATACAGAGTAGGTCATCTGCATATCAAGGTGAAAAACTCCTTTAGAAAAAGGCTTAGTAAGGTGCTTTGAAATTCCAGTCTGAATGAGGAACAGTGGAAGGCCAGGTTTGTGTATCCCAAGTGTGGTTCCAGTGCCTGGAGAATGGCAGAGAGCTGTGGGTTCAGTGCTGCTGCGGGCGCTGCTCTCTGGGGGGAGAGAGCTGTGAGAGAGCCCTGCAGGTGCCCAGGGAACCACTGCTAAGGCAGGAGGAGAAACTTCCTAAATACCCTTTCATGAAATATTTAAAAATGTATAAGGAGCAAGGAGAGCAAGCTCTTTTCCCATGGAGAAGCAGAAAAGGAAGTGAAAGTATTCGAAGGCTCAAGTGAAAATAAAACTCAGTGTGTATCTTGCTATACAGATCGTTCCATTCAAGTGCTTTGCTTTATTTGCTGCTATTGCTTTAAACCAAAGATTAGACTCAGAGCTGTAGTACGTGCTCAACGCTGTTCAGGGAGCACTGCTTGGTGTGAGTATAATTTTTAGTAAGAAGTTAAATTTTTATTTCAAGCCTAAGTGCTTGTATTCCTTTTCTAAATAATGTTCATTTATACCAACTGTGAGATTGAATGGTTTTCATTGCCAAGTTCCTCTCATGAGACACAGACAACTGTATGAAATTACAGTATAAGAGAAGAAACTTTTTACTTGTGCCTTTTTTCTTGAACAGTAACATGTTCTTTCTTTTCTTAATGGGTTGGCATTTCTGTGCCATACTCTGTAATGCAGAAGTATTTTCTGATACAGCTCTATATGAGCAAATATTAAAATGAATCAACTGAATCATCTTTAATGTAAAATGTTATATACAAGAAGTATTTTCATTTACAGTAGAATTATGAAATGCTTTTAGATTTTCATATATACCAAAAACACACCATAAGTATTTTGTAGTAAGCTCCTCCAGAGTCAGCTGGTCTTCTCTACTTAGAAGTTCAGATTCAAACAAAATGTATTGCAGCTGGTCAACTGTCTGACTCCAGAAGATTGTTTTGAAATTGTCTATGTTCCAACATCTTTATATATTTCCCTTCAACATTTTATATTATGAAAAAGCCACTTGTGATTTATTTAGTAGATGGAGTGAAGCAAATTAAACATTTAAGGCTTTTCAAGACGAATCTCGTGTAATTCAGTAAAAACTTATCTGGATGACTGCGAAACAGTTTGCAGCGAGCAGCTCGGGAACCAAGATGCTCCCACAGATCTGAAGCTGTTTAGTTTAGAAATTGTTCAGGGCAGTGACTGCTCCCTTCTCAAGGCACTGCAAGAGGCAGTGCAGCACTAGATCCTCAAGTACAGCTGATAAGCAGGAGACACAATATGTAAGCCTCAAATTCATTTTTTTGATCATACAGAGGTGAATTATAAGTTTTCATTATTTTATAAGACTTCAGAAATTAATTGGCTTTTAAAACTGAAGGGAGAAAAAAGTTTTCCAACTTAGCAGTTATCTCAAACTTTAATTTTATTGTATTGGAACTAAAAATAGAATTGGTTTTTGGATAAAAAAATAATGTGTAACTGATTCAACAGTGTTCTTGAAAATGAGTGGATGGCTGATTTTGTTTCATAGGGAAGCTCCAAAAACTGATGTAATGGAGATTATCTTGGTCAGAGGTTGCTGCAAACAACCAGCTGCAGACTTCAAGGTCAGCTTGCAGCAGCTGCCTCTGTGAGATTGATTGGGCTGAAGCTGCCTGCTGTGTGTCCGAGAGGGCTGGGATGGGGACGGGGCTCAGGCAGAGGCTGTGAGCGCTGCCTGTTGTGTGTCCGAGAGGGCTGGGATGGGGACGGGGCTCAGGCAGAGGCTGTGAGCGCTGCCAGCGGGGCTGTGCTGCTAAACCGCCCTGCTCAGCGCTGAGCCGCTGGGCAGCCTCCTTCTGTCTGCAGTGCTTCCCAGGGCCTGGTACAGAAACATTGCTACAAGCCGTCCTTTCTTCTGAGAGCTGAAGTGGCCATGCCGCCAAGTTCATCACTTTAATTAGAGCTAATTGTTACAATTCAGTCTGCTTGCCACTTTGTTTCTTTCCAACGGGAAGCCAAAGGCAGGATGACTAGGCTGCAGTCAGCATTGTCCCTGCAGCAACACTAGGAACGCTCCCAAGTTGGTTCGCTGTGACTTTGCGGAGTGTTCCAGTGAGGCAGTGAATGCATTGCCTGCTGGATGAGTGGGTGCCAAGTACAACCTATGAAATTCTGCCTGGAAAAACATGTTAGTAATCCAGACATCACTGATGAATAAAATTGCTAATTTTATACTTAGATCTGTATGTAGATGGAATGTCCTACCTAACTGAAATTTTAGATTCATGTTTTCTTGAGAGGCCAGAGAGGCTGATTTAATAGAGCATCTGATAAATGGAAGGTTTGTAAATGAAGAAAGAAGGCAATGGCTTTCAGGAATGGTGATAGAGATATTTCAGATACAATAAATGGGAGCTGTCTCACATAGTAACTAATATGTGTGCTTAGTAGGAAATTATTGGTTATTATTAATTTTTCTAGAGGCAATGATGATTCAGTAATTTGATTGCCGAGTTTGATAGTACAATCTTAGAATCTTTTAATGATAGTCTAAAAGGAGATGTAGATTCTTGTTTCAGTTTTGGTGTTCTTGGTCATCTCCGTTACTGGATCCAAGTCATCAGTTAACTGTCTGTTCACAGACATTAAATATCAGGAGTGATACATGTCCTTAATCCTTTAAGCTGGCCTGACCAGCAGCTGACTGATCCCCAAGAGGGATGAGTAGCAGGAAGTGTTGGAATGATCCTTCATGAGGAAAATAGCCCAGAGATATCCAGGATTATTTACTCATTAGGCATAGGGGAAACTTTAGAATCCAGAGTGTGCCCTGCCTTGTAGTGAGGATCTGAACACATTTCAAAATCTGAATATAATCCATTTTAGGGCTTTTGAGAAATCAGAGTTCAGAACAAAAAAGCTGTTTCCAAGTAGTAACAGTTTCTAAAACTGTTTCTCTGTTACTGAATTATCTGAAGGGGACCTATTTTTCACAACTCTCTGAGCATCCTGAGGGAGACAGTTCAGCTTTCCATGCCATCATTTCATAAATTGCCATTTCTCTAAACAGTCTTTTCCATGTTAGTTTTTTTTCCTAGATAGAGGAGGACAATGTATAACTATATTGTAATTGTCCAGAACGTTCTTTCTTGGAAAAGGCATGTTCAGTAACCACCATGCAATGCAGGTCACATGTAGGAGTAATTTGCATTTGACAAAGCTGCCTCTTCTCCCTATGCCTTTGTTTCTGCCGGAGAAGAGAATTCAGAAGCTGGTGCCATGGGACAGTCTTACTTATTTCTTGGATTTCTTGAGGTATTGTCACCCAAGAGCAAAGGGTGTCTCGTTGTGGTAGGGTGTTGGGAGCCTCTCCAAAAGCTGGGATGTGCCAGTCTCGCCTTCGGGCTGCGTTCCTGCTCTTACCACTGGGTATGTAGGGGGCCACAGTGTCTTAGAAGCACAGGGTTGGTGTGGAAAATTGATGCCAGCTTTCAAGAGAGGGGAAGCTAATTCAGGGAACAATTTCATCCAAGGTTAATGGAAGAACAGACCTCCAACACAGTATCAATTGGATCAAGCTTAAAGCAATCAGTTATGCCCTGGTAGCTATAACTCGGCCCAGGTCAGCCAGGCAGCACTGGTGATGTTTTACAACATTTTCTCAGTGGCTTTTATCAATAAGGAAGGAGAAACAAGTTTCTCAATTCCATTTCTAGAGTAATACTCTCTGTGCCCCAATGAGGGAAAGAAAAGCTTTTTTGGGAACTCCAAACAAAGGGTAGTTGTAGATTCTATTCCAGATAGTTTATAGAGGGAGCAAAATGAACCATATATATAAACATGGGGGGACAGCTGAGTGTGGAGCTCTCACATAATGGCTGTGTGCAGCCAGGGTCTCATGTCAGTCCTCAAGTGTGTGCTGCACTTATGGATTTTCTCCTTGTCTCTTTGGTCACAGTGGTCTGTGTTTCGAGCTCTTGCTTCTAAAAATTCAACTCAGCAGACTTTTGGCCATCCTAGGCTGTGAAACAAACATCCCAGGAACTGCTGCAATTGTTCATCCCTCCTCTGCCCCTGGAGGTTAATTCTGTGTTAAACCTTCACTTTCTGTGGAAGGTCAGCAGTGCAAAACTATTTTCACTTTTTCTGCTTTATCAATTCAGTGAAGGATTTTTTTTTAAAAATCCATCAAAAATCATTAAAACCAGAAGATTTGCAGGGAGGTGATAGCTATTTTCCTAGAAAATTTGTCATGTCTGTCTTAAACTTCTTTCTTTGTATTGATACAAGCATTTGTACTTTTGGACATCACCATAGAACTGCTCTCTCAAAAACTGACTTTGAAATTTGATTTGGAAGGAGGTCAGGAGGGGCAAGAGATGATGAGGGCGGAGGTTGCACCTCTTTATTTTGATTATTGTGTTTGCCTTTGCTGGTTTGAAGAGTTGGTGAAACTGTGGTCTGGTGTACCCAGCTCTCAGGGGATGTTTTCTAGACTGCAAGGTTTTATCTGTTGGTAAAGGCACTGTTCCATCTAAGGAACAGACAGCATGGGCCTGCAGTTCTGCTGGGGATGATGTTTGTCATGGAGTGAGCCAGAGCAGATTGTGCCCTTCCACAGCTGCTTTTTCCCCTTCCAGTTCTGTCTCTGCAGTTGCACCACTGCAGCTGCTTCTGGTGCTGCTGGAAATCAGATCAGCCAAACACTTCTTTAATCTCATCTCTTAATTGAATATGTGGCCTAAGTGTCTCCTAATACCACTCCCTAGAGTTTTAATTGCTGTTCCTGAATTACTTGCTTAAACAGCCAACAGATCATTGAAAAAGAGATTTGAGAGAGGTTACCACCACAGAGCTTAGCTGGTGAGCTGTTCTGCTTTTCTGAACCTGCTCCAGAATCCAAGGCATTTAACTGGGCATGTGAAATCTGGTGAGTGGGAGCAGACATTACAGAACAGCCCCATTTATTTATTGAGCTCCAGTGGCATCCTGTGCAATTCCAAGCATGTATTGCTGGTAGAGCTAGCACAGCCTTTTGATGTGCTTTTTTGCTCTATATTTTTTCTAAATATAGTGAAAGCATACTGATTTGGTAGAGTGTAATTGCATAACGTGGGAGATTTTGATAGGGATACCACTCTAAGGATAATCACAGTCTTTCTGTTCATTTTGAAGTGAACAAAAATACACAAAATTGCTCTCAGGTAATACCTGTCTGCATTACCAAGAGTGTGGTTACAGATCACCCCACTAAGCTGTGGGTATCACTGTGCTGGCAGTTGTTTAATCTGGTTATGATAGCAGGGTATGGAGAGAAGATGCTGGTGCCAAGCTTTAACTCAGTAGTGTTTTCAAGTGGTATGTGCTATAAAGTTATTTAAAAAATGAAAACAAGTGGCATTTAAGAGGGTCAGCAAAATGTTAAAGAGCACAAAATAGTGTTCATTATTTTAGTTACATGAGACTGTTAAAAATTTCAGTGGCTCACATTGCAAAATTTCTCATAAGTTGCCTGCGTCTGACCAAGTTCTACCATTATTGCAATTTTTAATATATCATGGCATGCTAAGTTCTAAAAACTGCACGTGTCATTTCAGGTTTGCCTGAGTCCATTATTGCAGCAGCATGTGCCAGAAGTGGCCAGAGAGTTCTTCATGTGGATTCGTAAGTTACTCCAGTAATTTCCCTTTTTCAGAGCTAAACTGACTGGAAGGGTTTCTGTGTCTCTGTCAGTGTGGGCTGCAGGACTCCTCTCTCTTCATCTGGCACCAAGTAATGTTATGTTTCTGTCTCTGCCTTATTTTGGGGGTGTTATTTCCATCAATAGAGCAGGCAGTTTTTGGAAGCTAGCTCAGGGATTTGGAACATCAGTGCTGTGGTGAAGGATGCTGTGATGGCTCTTTCTTTGCTACAGGCAGGAATGGCTACAGGTTTAGTGCCTGTGATTCTCATTCCTGACAGTAATTATCCCATTGTCTTTGATAAGAATGACTTGTGTTATTTCAGTTTTTGTTTTCAGAGTCTCTAATAAATTGTATTGGCCACTGGAGTTTGATTCTGTTAGCTATGCCTGTTTTTAGCTATGATGAATATCACCTTTTAACAATGTAAATTGTTCCCTTCATTAATATCAGAATTATGAATTCAAATTTTTCTCAATGTATAAAGAAACGAGATTTGGGATTACTGAAATAGCTGTTAGATGTGCTACTTTGATTAATCTCTTGTTCCCTACAAAGGATCCAGTTAAGTCAGGCACCAGGTATTGCAAACATATATGCATAAAGTCTTTGTTTAGAGTTTACTTGCTCTCATTACCTTGTGTACCTTATTTTATTACTTTTAATCTCCAGCCATGTTTGCATTTATCATAATATACTGCATAGGTGATTATGGGAGATAGTTTTGAAGTGGCCTATTATAAAATACTGAGTTCTGAGTTTGATTTATAAAAACTGTCCAAGCATTGCCATCAGCAGTAGCTAATCTTATTCAAAATAGTCACTTCACTGCAGTGTTGCCATAAATTGCTGTAGACTGATTTTAAACTGAAGTTAGCTTCTGCCAACTAGTAATTGAAGGAGCTCTATTTCTCTGTGCCAGCTATCTGTCTCAATAAACGTAAAATCTGTGGTTCTTCTCAGAGAGCTACATTTACTGTAGATATTAATGAGCTGTTGACATGTGAAATTTCAAGGATATTTGTTAAATGATTTAGAAAAGTAATTTGCAATTTAAAATGTGGAGATTGGCACTTAGTTTAAATTTGAAGCTGCTGGAGAAAGGTAGATCAAGACTAAAAGTGGATTACTTGAAGTGAATATGCTTCCTGTACTAATTGTGCACCTGCAAGGGACTTTCTCTATCCACTTGGTCAAGTTTATGCTTTTGGTCCTTTGTTTATTTGCCTCATTTAATTCTGTATCTGTAGTTAGGCACCAGTTTGGAGGATGAGGCAGTTAGGAGTGAAGCATGTTTAGCTACATTTTGTATTTGATATTCAGCATCTGGAACACAGCATTTGAAAGCTGCAGTTTTATTGTCTACATCCTTGCTCATTGTCTTATCTTTCTACATGGAATTTAATTCAAAGGCAAAGGAGAGTCAAGATGCAGAATATTAACTTCTTTTCTGTGAGAAGTAGAGCAAACTGGGCATGTCTTGCTTCTTGACACCTTTTACCTTCCTTATTTTTTGACTATACTTTGCCTATAGAGCACTTGAGTTTTCTTTGTGTCCAAAATTTTTTTATTTGAGCATCCAAGAGTATACTGGGATTTATTCCTGTACCTCCCTAGTCCAAGATCCTGCTTTTGTAGTTTGTGCCACTTCATGCTAGACAATTTGTCTCACTTTTTTTTTCAGAACTTGTAAAATATATGTAATAGACCCTGTGTCTTCATACAGCCCTCTTTGGATCTTTAACTGCTGTGAAGTGAGGGAGCTGTGGGAGTACAGCAGCCAGAGAGCAAAACAGGTGCTTCTCTAATCAGGTCAATTTCTTGCAAGAAAAATAAAGAAATTATTTCATTTCAATAAGGAAAACTAAGCAAAAAATTGTTAATTCTGATATCTTTTGAGCTCTTTTGAAAATGTCCTTTTTCTGTTTATTTTGGTTTAGGATACAATCTCACAGCAATGAGAGAGTAAAACACGGTCTCAGCTGGGCTGTGATAATTCTCTTTGGTCATGTTCATATCCCAGGATATAATGTGGTGTAGCACAAGTGACTGCCACTATCACCCACCCTTTGTGCTGAAGGATCTCAGGAGTTGTTTGGATTAAACCCCTCCTCTTGAAAGCCAGGCAGCTCCTAAACACATCACTGGGCCAGAATGGGAATCTTTAATATATTTGCCTGTGTACTGGTAGGTAGCTCAGGAAACTTCACGGGTTTGAAACATAAGTCATTTTGTGTTCAGACCCTTAAAATCGATGTGGCAGTAACTTCCTGTGCAAAAGACAGCTGCCCTGATGGCTCAGGACTTCTTTCTGGAAGATCAGATGCAGGACAGACACGTGGAGGCAGCTCTTGGGGGAAATGCTGAGGCATCAGCAGCTTTGGGTGTGGGGGCTGTGCCATGGCTCTGGGAAGGGCCAGTGCCCCAAGCAGCACCGGCCAACAAATCCTTTGCTGATCTTAGGTTTTAATTGTGAATCTCCTGCTTTCAGAAGTGTCCAGTTTCTCAAATTGCTGTCTGTCTACAGAAGGGCACATTAGATATTTTCTTGGTTGACATTCAGATTGTTAATCAGTCAGAAACAATTTGTGATTTCAATGTTCTGGATTGGAATTTGCCAGTTATTTTGAAAATGGTCTGGGTAACTGAAGAAAAAAGTGGAAAGTTAACATAGGAGAAGAGACAAGGTTTTTTCAGAGATAAAATTGTACTTTAGCTACATTTCCAAAAGTTTGCAAAACTTTTTTCTGCTGTTAGCTCCGAACTGCAGATTAGAGATTTGAAAAATGTGAAGGAAAGGAGCAGTGTTGTAATTCAGGTGAAACCCAGGTAACACGGGAGGAGTCTTGAGCAAATATAATTTAAGAAATAATGTGTGGTAGGGAAGGAGAACATCTGTGCTCTAACTTGGTAGAAAAAGTATTTTCCACCTCTGCTGTTGCACCTTCAGAATGCTTCCTGTTCTTAGTTAGGGAATAATTGGATTATAACTCTAAAAAAGGGAGAGAATATCCATCTTTGTAGTTTGCTAATATAGCAAGAGAAGAGGGGAGCTTAGGCCTTGAGATTTTGGGACAATATTTTAGCTTTAATTGGGCTTTGATCTTGACCATTACTTAAAGGAATTCCTCAGTTCATCTTCAGGGCAATTACAACAAAAATATTTGGTTACAAAGGAGTCCTAATTGTAAAACCATTAGTCAGCTCTTCTCAGAATTCCTCTCCAAGACTTGCTATAAACTTTGCTCATTATGTCAGTAATCATGTCTGCTCTGTCTTCCTTCTGTAGTGTTTTCAGATGAGAAAATTAAGCAATCCTGATTCATCATGTAGGGCAGGGAAACTAATTAAAATTCCAGGATTAAAAAAAAATCTGGAAGTTGCTACTTGAGGAGAAGATGAATATTTGAGGTGGCATTACCCAACTTGGGAAGGGTGCTCAGACACCAGAGGAGAGGAGGGACAGCTGTGGTTCATTTTCCTTTGGAGAAAGGCTGTGCCACCTCCTCAGAATGGATGGAGCTCCACAGCAGGGTCATGCAGTGCTTTGTTGAACACACTGGGCTGCCTCAACACTGGGTAAAACAATTCCAAAGGAAAATCAAGCTGATGAACAGAGGAATGTTCAGATGAAAGATGTCTGACACTCACAAATAAACTTTTGTAACTTTCTGGGAAAATAATGTTTTCTCTTACTGAAAATTCTAACTTTAAATAGTCTAAATATACATGATTTAATATTGGTGTAGATTCAAAAAACCCACTCCAAAATTTAGGCAGGTGTTTTCTGGGATTTTGGTGATCATGGCATTGCTCCAACAGCTGTATATTGTACTCCGTATTCAAGAAACTTGCGACCAGAGCAGCAGGTTTCCTTAAAAATAAATCTTTATGGCCACGGTTTTTGGAAATCCCAGGAATGACAGATAATACATGGATACTGAACTTTTTATTTTCTAGAATCTGAAGAGAAATGAAGAAATTACCCTGCACCATTGACACCTTAAACAAAGCTGGAAGTACCATCACATGCAACTGTCAGTGTCTTTTACAGATTGAAATCTCACAGAATTGGGCATTTCAGATTTAATCCTCATTGCTTTGTGTTCTGTGTGATACCAAACAGCAGAAGTTCTGGAGCTCACCATGTCAGTCTCACGAAGTAAGGATGAGCTCCTGTTAGAGAGGATTGGAGTTCCTGTTTGGAAACCATCTGCAGATGGAGCTGTGCTGCTCCATCACCGCACTGCAGGCTGTGGGCTCAGTCCCCCCAGCTCAGGGCCTGGAACACCACAATCCACTGGTGGAGCCACCTTTATTCAGTGAATGCTGGATTTTGTTGTCTTTGCAAAAGATGTCCTATTTATGTTCTTCACTATTGCCTTGCAGGAGCTGAAAGACTTTTTTAGGTCAGTTTGTAGTCAGGAGCAATTAGGCACTGCTCAGCAGACATCTGTCCTTCATATGCTAAGTAAGCACCATGGTCCAGAGCAGCAGCCTCTGGTGCTGGAGCGGGGCTGACACTCTTAATGAAGTCTTTGTCAGTGCAGATAAGCCCTGTCAAAAGCATCCCATCGTAAATCTAGTCAGGAGAATCTAACCTGAATTTAGCTTTTCCCTGTTATCACACTGATCTCTACAATTTAAAAGTGGAGGAGGTTATGATAAGATTGATTTAACAGCCTTCATTTTATTCTTTAAAATTCAAACCCTATCTTCCTCCTTACATTTTTTTTTATTAGTTTTTTTAGTGTATGCAATAACTATCTATTCAGGAGGGTATTTTTGGTATCTTTGAGGCTTCTGAAGTGCCAGTACACACTGCCAGAAAACAGAGTTAAATCCTGTAATAACTTTTATTTTGCAAGAACTGGTGATGTTTTAAAATGTAGTTGCTCTATTATTTTTATTCTCAGACTTGTTAAGTATTTAAGATATGCTATGCATGATCACAAAAGCCAACTAATCCAACATATGTTTAGAGAAATACTGGTAGAGAAATTTTAAAGAGAGAGAAGAGACTTTATTTAACAGCAGAACCATTAATTTTTTTGTGATTTAAAAGCAGTAAATATCTTTTCAAGCAAAAAGGTGGTAAATAGAAACTGGGAAGTGCTCAGGGAGGGATGATCACTTTGTACAAATCAGTTCCTTTGGCTCCACCTGCAGTACATGCAGTTCAATAAGTGTTTTGCCAAAGCACCTTCACAGTCTGTAATAGGCATAATATGTTGTGTAAGCAGTAGAAAAACAATAAACTGCACTTTCCAGTATGTGACATAATGCATAAGAGAGCCAGTCTTGGCCAAAAAGCAGTATTATCTCTATTTTCCTTTTCTTCACACCATCCCCTGTGTTGTTCTCAGCAATATCCTTTTACCCCCCCAAATAATTTGATTTTGGACTACAGTGTGTTTGGTCAGAGATGCATACAAAGGAGTAAAATGGAAATTTTGCATTTGATTAAGTATTGCAAAATACTAATTTTTATCTATTCTGCATCTGAAGAATCTTGCCATGTAAAATGTTTTGAATGTATCAGACTGGATTGCTTTTTCTTTAAATCTGGGAAAGCTGTTTTACCTGTCCAACAAGTTTTCTTTTGTTCTTTACAGGAGAAATTACTATGGTGGAAATTGGGCCAGCTTTAGTTTTTCAGGATTATTGTCCTGGATTAAAGAAAATCAGGTAAAAAATTCCCAAATTGCTTTTTTTAGGCTTCCTTAACATTGAATCCCTGTTGTTTGCATGATTTATTACAAGACAAATTACCTCCCTGCTTTTGCTCTTTGGTAATTTGACAGATCAAAGAGGTTTGTAGTTCCCAGCTTTACTGGTTGAGCCTCACCCATCTGGCCTGGCAGGCTGAGGCTCTGATGTGCCTGCCTTGTCAGTCTGATTGAGGCCACACTTCTGGGTTCTTGAGTTTAAAGAGAAGCAACTACACCATTGTTTCAGTTCCTTTATGATAATCTGATCTTTTCAATTTCCCCTTTAATTATTTTCCACTCTGTGACATTTCAGCCCTTTTGTTTTTGTTTGTATTCAGGTGATTCTTCTTTAGAGGGAGAAAAGTGGGTGCTGGATCCTTCCATTGAAATGTCCTGTAACCAGGACAAAAAGATGAATGCTGATAGTGTATTTTTCAATGACCAAAGTTTATCTGATTCATGGCAGTCCACTAGAAGCCTTCCAGGGAGGATATTTATTCAGGAGATGGAGCACTTGGGCTGGATTAGCAAATGGCTGCTCTGTTATTTACGGAAATGCTTGGAGCCTGTTGGGCCATAGAAGATGGAAGTTTCTCAGCTCAGTCTCACGCCTGTTCTTTACACTGTGCTGCCTCCTGGCATAATCAGGGCACTTGTTCAGTGCCAGAGCTTCATATTCTTTGAGTTCTGTTGTATGATTTAGGGATTCCTGTGTGCACAGATTAATACAATCCCCCAGATCACCATGTTTTCCCATGTGTTCTCCATTCTGAGAGTTTTTTCACAGAATCTGGAACTACCCTTGCTGTGGCAAACCTGTCTTATAGGAGGTTGTATTCCAAGTTACATTCAACTCTCTACTAAAGCCTGTACTTTATTTAACACTATATTTCAGATTACTAGAGCCAATGCTGTAGTACAAATGTTGGCATGGTGTAAAATATGTAATTTTATACTTGTTCTTTTAAGCAAAAGACAGATTTCGGTGATGAATGTGACGACTGGAGAAAACTGATCCTTGAGGATGAAGAAGCAATTCCTCTTAGCAGCAAGGATAAAACTATTCAACATGTTGAAGATTTCTGTTTTGGAGAGTAAGTAGAAATCTAGAAATTCATGAACAATTTTGTATGCCCAGGGGTAAAGGATCATGTTGTGCTTTTGGTTTTAAGGGTTTCACCACGCTGCCATATTGCACATTGTCCCAAAAAGTAACCCTGGCCTCTGAAATGTTGCTCCTGTCCTTGTGCTTTGTTGACATCACTTCACTAAAACAACCTGATCCTTCCTAAATGATCCTTCCACCTCTCTGGGTGCAGCGTAATTTGTTGGCCAACTTTGTGAGTCTGTGATTTCCTTCTGAGTAGAAAACAGAAGTGTTGTGTTTAGATTTTAGTAGTAGTAGGCAGTTGTGCACTGAGATCAATTCACTTTTTCCATTCTTAATTTGCCTAAAAGCTGCTGTTCTTGGTCAAAAATTAAACCCCTAAATGCATGCAAAATCAGCCACATACAAAAGAACTGGAGCACAGACAGAATACTGTAATTATGACATACTTCCTTGTGCTAAAATGGTAAAGTAATATTGCACTTTGTCCTTTTTATATGTAATAAATTTAACTAACTGAACTGTGTATTTATTTATTTTTTTATTATTATTTTTATCTTCTGGGTTTTGCACTGAACTGAGCACTCTCCAGAGTTCCTGAGAGGAAATTCTCTGAGGTAGTTATGTAAGTTTAACCTCGAATCCCTTAGAGATTAGCTAAATGAACCCTTAGGTAGCTAAATGAAATTCTGACACATACTCATAGAGAAATACAGCTTCTTTTTCCTTTAAGCATCATAAATAGGGGAAAAAATATGTGAATTGCATAAATACAATCTGAAGGTCACACACTGAGACTCTTCCAGGGTTCAGTACTGCACAGTAACGGTGCTTGACTGGATTTAAGATAAAATGTAATGTTTATTTTAAACCAACAGCACTTGGAGATTGTAATTGTCATCCTGTTGTCATAATAAATATTGTTCAGAATGAAAATTAGATGGAAAGGTTTCATAGTCTTTTAACTTAGTGTATGATTTTTGACTGATAGCTGGCTCCCAAATGAGTCCTGTAGCACTGAGATTTCACACTTAGAAGTGACATTATACTTGGGTAAAATCATGCTTTTAAGCATTCAATTTAGCAGTTTAGTACAATGCTGTCTGTCTTGGTCATCACCAAAAAAAATCCCCCAATCCACCCAAGGAACAAGGATAAGATTAATAAACCTGGCAAAGAAAAAGTTCTCCAAAAGAACTTCAAACTTTCTGAGAGAGTCAATTACTGTGTTTCTGACAATTTACGTGTTCTGCCTAGATTCTGTTGTTTTTGCTTAACTTTTGTAACTCCTATGAAGTAACCATTAAACATTTATTTTGAAAGAATAAACAGCTGGGTAGCAGTATAATATACACAGTGCAAATCTGAAATGAATGGCCTTAGAACAAAGTGCATCCATCAAAGGGAAAGAATACTGTGTCTACAACAAGCTGGATTGAAAAAAGGCAAATGGCTGAAAAATAAATAGTGAACACCTGTGCTGAATAAATTAACCAGCTGGTTGGCAATTTTTCATTTGACCTATCTGAAGGGGTTGCTGTTACAAGGCATTAATAAGACACATTCATTTTAAGATATTCCTTTGTTAGTACCATTAATTGATGAATGGTGGAAGATAATATTCTAAATTTACACAACAATTTGTCTGCAGATGTATTATTTTTTTCTGAATTAGGAGAAGAATTGTCTGTACAGAAGTTCAGTTTGAGTCATTTTTATAGACAGTTCTTACATTATTCAGGGATATTTGGTCCTATAGGAAGGATGTCATGAATTTAGATTATATAGAGCTTTTAGGCTCTCATTATAAAAAGTGTGGAGCTGCAAATCATGGAGATTTACCTGTTCTTTAATGGGAAGTGAATGGAGATTTAAAATATGTAAATATTTCTGTTACACTGCTTTTCAGAGTGATATAGAAAAACACAGTGTATTATGAATCCAAGTTCATTTTGATTAAAAAAAGTAATAATCAAGTATGTGTAAAATGAGATTAACTGTTCATTGAGATTTAGAGAAGGTAGAAGGAAAACCTTATTCTGAAATTTTGTGTTATAAAGGTTTAGGATGAGTTAAATAAAAGACTCATTCTTAATTACTGAATTACTGGCAAGAGCTTTTGCAGTTTTCACAAACACCATGTTCCAGAATCCTAAAAAAAACCCCAAAATCCAGATAGAACCCCAAAATTTTACTGACTTTCATTTTTATTTGTAGCAGAGATTACTTTTTCAAAAAACATTTGACAGAGGACTTATCTTTCTTTGATATTTTATAGTTACTTAATGCTGGCAATCTGAAGCAAAAAGACATAATTAATGTATAGAAACAGCCTTCTCTCATTAGTGCTTCCTTGTAGCAGTTCCTGTATTTCCCAGGGCAATATTTTAGCCCAGTCATGAGTTAAGTGCTTCCTGGTGACTGTGCCCAAGCTGGGAGATTGCTTCCAAACTTTTCATGTGTCCATGTGAGCTCCATGGGTTCATAAATGAGGAGCAATTTTTAAAGGATTTGAGGTTTTTGTTCCTTTTTGAACAGAAATCCTGCCTCTGCTTCCATCTGTAAGGGTGCAGGTGTGTGAGGGAGCATTTTGGTATCGATGCTGAGTAATTCCTTGCTGTTCTGGGAATTTTAACCATCCTGTTAATACTCAGTGTTTGCAGGTCACCTTTAAAATCATAGTTCATTAGTTTTCAGCCAAGATTAAATTGTTTATTCAGTGCATTAATGGCTTGTGGTATAAAGATAAAAAGATAGTTTGGAATTATTGCTGAACTCCTTTCACTTACAATGACACTGATTTGATTCATCTCAGCTGGTAGTGTAAACTAAACCAAGTTCAAAAGTCCTGCTTTCTAAGGGAGGTGTCACTGAAGTTTAACATAAAACAAGTAGATGAGATTAAAAGTGAAGTGCTGCTTTATAAAGGGAATTTTAAAGAAATGTTGTGGAACAGAAATGAACTGTGGAGAGTAAATTTTGTGTGGGAATGTCCCTCTTGTGACTGCCTTCAGCCCCCGTGCATGGATTTGGAGCACTTGCATAACAGCATTGCTGCTTGAACAACTAATGAGAATGCAAGGGCAGCGTTGAAAAAGGAATTTGAAAGTTTTATTTAAGCTTTGGGTCAAAGTGGTCTGGTTCTCAGTGGCCCTGCTGGGATTGTGGCTGCAGAGGAGCGCGGCTGTGTAAAGCTTGTCTGTTTTCTTCAGGACAGTATCTCAGCTTAATGACCTTAATGCATAATTGCATTTCAATTTCATGGTTTTTAATCCATGGGGAGCACCTAATCAAGTTACTGCTTTTATTTCAAAATACTGCATTTCTGTTGTTTATATAGTTGTGTATTGTTTCACCATGAGGGCCTGGATTTTCATTTTGGGATCCTTCTATTTTTGAGTATATGTAAAGTAAAAACTCAAATTTTTGTTGGTAATTTTTCTCCTCAATAAAAATAGTCCTCTTGAATTACAGCTGTGCAGCCAAAGAAGCAGAGTTTGTTAGTGGGCAGAACACCTGAATGGGCCAGGATAAAGAAATTCTAATGCTTTTCCTAGAAATGATTGAGGTTTCTGTTCTGGCACCGACTCAAAACTTCAAACAAGTTTTTAAGACTCTTCAAAACGACTTTTCCCCCCTCTTTTTCCCCTCTGTGTTTTTAATCAGTCAGGATTCAGCTGAAGGTGTTGAAGAAGCTGGTGCACTGCCAAAGCTGCCTGTGTTTGGAGCCCCTGCTGCCCAGGGGGTTTCTCCAGGGTCGGAGAAGGAGAGTCCAGCAGTGGAGGGGATTTCTCTGGGATCAGAGGAGAGTCCAGCAGCAGAGGGGCTTTCTCCAGGGTCAGAGGAAGAGAATCCAGCAGTGGAGAACCCCGGAGAGGAGCCACTGACCCCAGAGCCAGAGCAGGCCCCGAGCACTGAGACAGCTCCAGGGGACGGGGCAGGAGCGGCCCCTGGCAGTGGAACTGCTCCCAGCACGGCTTCAGGAGAATCCGCTCCGGAACCGGCAGAGACGGAAGCTGCACCCTCTGAAAGTGCTGCCCAAGAACCAAAGAAAATCACCTATTCCCAAATTGTCAGAGAAGGCAGAAGGTTTAATATTGATTTAGTTTCTAAGGTAGGAACTAATTGACTCTTTTTGTATAAGGACATTTACTTTGCTTAAAATGCTGACATTTGTTTTAAAACCCTTCATGTTGAGACAGCACCTTCGAGGCAAAATAGCCACTCTTGAGAAGTAAGACTTGTTATCCCTAAAACAAACATGAGCTATTAAATATGTGTCCTTCAGTGTTTTATAAGCAAAGAGATCAAAAAACACAGCTTAGAAATACTGCCATAAAAGTAAATTTCATGAAATATAGCACTTGGTATCAGCAAAGCCTCTCTTTTTAAATAGTACCATTAAAACAAGAAAGAACAATCTGCATGCAGATTTTTTATCTTTTTAGGAAGATAAAAAATGTGTTTTGCAGCACAGGGGTGTTTTTTCAAAGTTGAATACTTCACTTTTCGTATTGTGCCTAAAAAGATTTTTCAAATCTCTGAAAACTGAAAAAGAAACTCCCTTCAATAATCCATTCAGTTCTTTGTGAAGACACTACAAAATGCATTATTGCAAACTTCATGTTCCAAATGTGAATTCCGTTTCTAAATATCCTCTCAATGACATCTTGAACACCAAGATCCTTCCAGTGGGTGTTCAGTCATCATTCAGTCACCACCAGTGGATGGTGGTTAAGTAGATAATGGTATTTTTTATCCCTTTTATAGTCTGGCTGACCCTCTGTGGGACATGATGTAAATTGCAGCAAATCCCAGAATTCAGACACAAGAGTGGTCAGCAGAGCAAGGCCAGGAGTGTGGTGGGGTTTCCCTGGCACGGGAACATCGGCTTCCTTGTGGCGTCCTCGTCAGCATCCCAGGAAACCTTTATCCAAAAAATTCCTGGGTGATCTTGCCAAGTCTCTTCCTCAGGACCACGAGACTTTTCAATACAGACATTTTCAGTTCACAGTTACATTTCTGGCCTTTCTGTATTTCATCATGTATTTGAAGCTTATAGAAAGATGATTGAATTATATATGATTAAACCTTAGCTTGGGAGTTAAGGAATTTACCTGTGGAAAAGGTGACTCTTGGTTCAGGGGGTTTAGGGAGCAGCCAGTGAGGATTTTGTTGGGTACTTCACTGATCCTCTTCACCCACCACATCCTTTCTCCTTCCTGTGCAGTTGCTTTATTCCCGGGGCCTGTTAATTGACCTCCTCATTAAGTCCAACGTGAGCAGATACGCTGAGTTCAAAAACGCCACACGAGTTCTCGCCTTCCGAGAAGGGAAAGTGGAACAGGTACCAGAAAATAACGTGCTGAATGTGTTTCATCTCTTCTTCTTAAAGTTAATAAGCTTCAAATTGGCTTTTTGAGAACTCAGTGATACAAAGCCGGTGCTTTTTCCTTAATTATGATTCTAATTTAATTTCTTCAAGAAAAGATGTCTGTATGTGTTATATATAAATATTAAAGTCAAAGCAAACTAAAATAAGGTTGTGCAGTCCAGTATATTGACATAAATCTTTACCTCAGGCTAAATGTTTAGGCCATAATTGACTGGCAGTTATTGAAGATTAACAGATTTTAGGTTTTAAGATTCTAACATAGACTTGAGTTGTCTTTATGTGATGTACAAGAGAAGTCACTGTGATAATGGCACAGTTCATACAAACTCTAGTGACTACCTCTGTAGTCAGAGATGCAAGTGAAATTAAAGGGAAATGAAAAGAGGAAGAGGCTGGAAAAGATTTTTGAATATTCTTATTGTGGAAAATTGGTAACTTTAGTTACAGTAGAAAATAGGGGAAAGAAATATATAAGAAAATAACTATAATTGAAAACACTAATTTGAAGTATTGGTTGTTTAATCAGACTGTTGTTGCTTGATGCTGTTAGATTCAGTGTGGAAAGTGTCAGAAATTATTAAAAAATATTTTGCAGGTGCCTTGTTCTAGAGCAGATGTCTTCAACAGCAGACAGCTCACCATGGTGGAGAAGAGAATGCTCATGAAATTTCTGACATTCTGTTTGGACTATGAGGAGCACCCCGAGGAATACCAAGGTAGTGTCTCACTGAACAAGACCCACTCCCTTCCTACCACTTCCTTCAGGGAGGCACAAGTCTGAGAGCTCTCCTATGTTTTCACGTGGTTTATTTTTACAGATTAATTTTTAAAGTATGCTTTGACCTTTTTGTGACCTTTTCACTTTAGTGTTAAATTCTTCTACTTAAGCACTTGCTCTTCTAGTTCCCACATCATTTATTATTTATATTTTTCTTTAACAGCAAAATTATATATTACAGCAAGGTTGCACAATGCTTTTTGTCATTTTTAAGTGTTTCCTCCCCTCCCCCAGGTATTTTTTAAAATAATGTGATGTATCTGAATTTTCTGTCTGTTTTTTTGGATACTACATAAATCTTTACAACGCGTTACCACAAAATCCGATGGAGAAAATAGAATTTTTTAACTATGAAAGTAAATGTAATTTAATGCTCTGTAGTTGTAGAGGGCAAGTTCAAAGTGCTTTTATCAACTGTTGGCTTATTTAGATGAGAGGAAATCAGAATAGATTTGAGCTATAATGTGCAAAGAATAATGAGCGTCAGGTCAAAGAGGGAAATGAGCTTAACAGGAGGAAGGTACTTTGGGTTTGTGCTCCTCAGGGTACAAAGAATGAAATGATGTCCTCAGTTCTTGGGAGTCTAAAAGTAAACTAAGGCAAAGAGCAAAAAATCTGTCAGAAGGAAATAGTGAGGAAAGAGGAGTACAAACATCCGAGAAAATTATTCAACATATGCAAGAGAAAAATAGTCAGTATCATGATCTGGTAAGATTAAGAAAAGGACTCTGTAATGAACTCCAGAAAATCCTGAAGGGGGAAAGACTCATTAGGCTGAAGTGGTTTATTGATTACAGGTGATCTCAGTTTGCTGCTGCTGGAAGAAATGGAGGTGTTCAGAGTGAGGATATTGGTGGTATTTAGAAAATTTATTAAGTAAAAGAAGGAGATGCCACATCAATTTTAAATGAATCCATTGATTCATATACCTAAATAACATGAGATTTATTTTACTTCCAGAGACAGTTTTAAAAGATTTTGTTCCTGCATTTTAAAATAGCCTGAGAAGTAATTGAGAATATTTTGAGTCAGATTAGGCTAATGTAAAAACTTCAGAAATTTAAAATTGCTCTTGATGAGATCATTGCATTCGTGGGAAGGCAGACTTTTAATAGGAAGAGTTCATGAGCGTGAAGAATTTTTTTAAAAGCTTTTCTTTCTATAAAATATGGAATTATATAAGAAGTTCAAAGTGAGGAAAACTTGAGAATTTTTTTAGAATGATAAAACAAAAAAAACCTGTCATTTTACGACTTTTTGCTTGGCTGTACAAAGAGCAGTAAGATACATTTGTAATAAAGCAGTGATTGAATCTTGAACAGAATATATAGCTTTGTAATACTGGTCTCTGCATGGATGGAAGTGTTTCTTTTCAAAATGTGCCAGCAATAATATTATTTTAAAGGGAAGGTAGAGTGGTCCCTTTCTGCTCTCTGTCTCATCCACGTTTGTTTGTTGCCAGCAAGTCATCAAATTGAAATAAATACTTCACCTTCTCATCTCTGGATTGTGGCACTGTGTGAGAGGCTTCTGTAAGGATAAATATCCAGTCTAGCCCTGGCAGTGTGGATGCAGCAGTCCTGTTCTGCAGTGGGTGTCATTTGGGGTAATATTCTGGGTAATTTACAGGAAACAGTGTCCCAAGGCACTTGAATGGATTTTTGTCCACAGTTTCTCACTTTTGTCTCAGGATTGGGAAACGGAGTTAGATCAAGTCTAACAGGATGAAAAAGTGATGCCATTGGAGACCCATTAAGTGGGTTTGTGATATTTTGAAACATTTTAATGGAGCGATATTTCTGTCTTCTGAGAAAACTCACTTTCTGGGAGTAGCTTTTCTAAGTTTCATTGTCTTGGATGATCCATTTTCAGCAAGATGTTTGTTGAAAAAGTCACTTGCTTTAGTTTAGTGAAATCCAAAAGCACTTGTTTGAGCTGAAGCACAGGAGACAGTGCAGGTGTTACATGTGCTCAGTGCCTCACGTTCTTTTCCCTCAGACTACGAGAGCAGCACGTTTGCTCAGTTCCTGCAGACACGGAAGCTGACCCCCAGCTTGCAGCACTTCATCCTTCACTCCATTGCAATGGTGTCAGAGACTGAGAGCAGCACTCTGGAAGGTCTTCAGGCAACAAAAAAATTCCTGCAGTGCCTTGGCCGCTATGGCAACACCCCGTTCTTGTTCCCTCTGTATGGGCAAGGAGAGATCCCACAGTGCTTCTGCAGGTAAGCCTCACCCAGACATATATTCCCAAAAGGAAACCCTTGGTGATGTAAGAGGTATCATTCACTAGGATAATACTTTGCAACATTTTTCATTGTATTACAAATGCAGCTTGTAGTAGCTGCTGGCTGTGGTGGCTGCCTGTAACTTAAGTAATAAGTGTTAGGAAATGAGAAAGCCATAATTTAACCCATGCATAGCTACCCGTTTTGAATCTGACAGAAGGAGACTCCGTGCAATCTGTCCAAAAGGATGACTGTGCATTTGGTAGGTTGAAAAAGTTTGTGTGTGTGTCTTCCTGAATCTACAAAAGATCCATGTTGTCAATTGGTGTTACTAATTAATGCTGAGAATGCATCTGCCATTCACATGTAGATATTTAATGATGAAGTGGATTGTTCTGAAAGAGGAGAATGGCGTCACGTGTCTGGTTCACAGTTAGATTTAGAACAAACCTTTCTACATCACAGGCTTTTATGCAGACAGGGCAGTTGATGTGAAATCCCGTATTATGCTCTTGGCATCATTTTGTAGCTCTCTCAAGACTACAATGTTCCAACTCCTATGAACTGAACAGCAGAGGAGGTCCAGTGCAGCCCTGTTTCACCAAGTCACTGCCTCATTCTGACATCCCAAACAGCAGCCATATGTTCTCCACTCCTTGAGCCTTAGAAAGCAAGTAAAACAAAAAAGCCCAGTGGGTTGCAGGATAAACCATGATCCACTTCAGCCCCTTGAGCTGTGGCAGTGACAGTGCAGTCCTTGCCCTGGCTCCTGAGGTGTCCCTGGGCCTGTGGTTCTGGCACAGAGCTGGTGCTCCGTGCTTTTGGGGACCATCAGGGATCCGTGTGCAGAGGGTGGGCGGTTTTAATTTCAGTTGTTTCCAACAGTTCAACTGCCTTTTAAAAGGCTGAGGGATTTTTTTCATCTTTGCTTTTGCTGGCAAGCAGCCTTTCCATCTGCTCAATGTGGGTTTAATGTGGTAACCTGTAGGTCTGAAGTAAACATTAGCTCTGTTTAAAAAAAGCAGTTTTGCCTGGTGAGGCCAGTTTGTCTGAGTGATATATTTGTAAATCGGTCCTTTAAATAGTGCAGGCTCTTACCTGCTTTGTTTGGTGGTGGACAAGTTCTGCTTTTTACATGTGTGCTACTATGAAATAGTGGTTTACAACATGTTGTTGGGTATTGTCTTCCTGTTTGTCTCTGTGAGAGATTCTGTTTCTCTTCTCCAGAGCTGTACTTAAATTGCTGCCAGAAGAATGGCCTTAGCAGCTTGAGCCTGCTTGTCTGTGTGTAGGATGGATGCAGTTATATGTTGATAGAAACATTCTGGAATAATTGTGCTCCGTTGAATAGAAATGTTATTTGCTACCATCTTTTGTCAGTTGCCTTAAGCTGTATTTATATGGTGATTTAAAGAAGTGCAGACCTGTGTAATTAGGTGATTGAACAATTTGTGAACAAGAGTTGGGGTTAGGTAACTACTTGGGATACAGTCATGCAACAGAACTTGTGTCTCTGGATTTTATGGATGTCTTTGTGTCTTTATAGGACTTCGTGTGAGGCCAGGTATCTGTATGTGACCAGCAGATGAATAAATCAGGATATTACCAGAGCCATTGAAGTAGTACAATTTTGGCAGTTCAGCCTTCCTTGGCTTCAAATACCTGGGGAAAAAAGTAAATGCAATAATTAAAATTAAAATTTTGTTTGCTTTCTTTCTCCTGTAGATTCTTATCCATGTAATTTTTCTTGCATTCTCGAAATCCCTTCGGCTTAATTTTTTTTATTTAATAACCAGCACATGCAGTTTTCTGATCTGTAACAGCAATATATTTCAAGAGTTAGCAGTAGATGTGTCTAGAAGTATTATAGATATTCTTATCAGAAAATCATTCTGTGATGACAGGACTTCTTCAGATGGCCCAAACTTTCTATTTAAGATCACTGGTTGCTGCATTTTATGGTTTTTTTGCTAAAATGCGGAAGTTCTACAACAAAGAAGGTATTTTAATAGTTGAAGCAAATTAGTCTGTAAAACCAAAAAGTAATTATACTTTCAAAAGGTTTGAATTACAAACATTCTAATACAAAACTTAAAAAAACAATTGTCTTTTGTTTTTAAGTGAACAATGTAGGAGGCAACCATCATAATTTTTGAGATTAATCACAATTTTTAAAGGTGTACTGCCCTCAGGATTGTGGGCAGTATCCGAGGAATTCTGCTGGGGCTTTGGAGTAAAGAGTCAACGCCAGAGCCTATAGATCACAGCCTACAGCTTTTATCACCAGCTTATCAGAGGAAGGTGTCACCTGGCCTGTGATTTCTAACCACTGTTCTATATTCTGCTTTAATGTAAACCTCTTAAGCGTTTCTTGCAGCCAGTTACACTGTGTGTTCTCATCAAGGCTACTGTTATAAATGGCACACATGCATATTGATGGGAATGAGTCAAAGACATTTGTAAGTCACATCCTTGCATCCCAAATGAATCCTGCATAAACACTACAACCTTTTAGAACTGCTGACGACACTCGAGTGAGCAGAAGCGCTCTTCGTTCTTTATTGGTTTAAGCAGGGATGGTTTAGGAGAGAAAATTAAACTTTTATATCACTGTAATGTACATCCCAATATGGTGAGGTACAGATGTGAGGTTTCTGTCTCCATAAATTGGAGTCGTGGAACAAGGAAGGTCATTGGAAACCTCCTGCTCTCCTGAGCTGACAAGCAGCAAAACTTTACTGGTCCTTTACAGCTTCCTTTGCTTCCTTGTACAAAGCTGTTCTGACTCTCCCTTTCTGATGATGTAGCAATAGTCTGATGTTAAGTAAAAGTGAATATAGTAATATCTCATTCCTGAGGAAAACCCAGATAAGCCTTTATACCTGGTACTGTGTTTGTTTTGTGAACACACTGAATTGGGGGCAGAGCAGGCAAAGTTTCTCTTCAGTTTGGTTTCAGATTCTTTCCTCTGGACTCATGCAGATACGAACATGCAAATGGAATTGACTTTCTGAGAAGCAATAGTTTTTTCCCACGTGAACTTTTAGAGGGAATTGGTGACTGTCCGCTGTGCCATCTCACAAAGGTCCTACAGGTGACACGCTGTGTCTGTTGGGTCTTCATTAAGTTATCTAAAACCTGACAGATGTCAGGGTGGCAGTAGGTGCTGGAATATCCAGGGCTTTGCCAGAGGAATTGGTGATTCCCTGACTTTTATGGATAGTTGGTTAACAGTGCACATTTCCTATAGACAGACTTTGAACTTTCCCATTGTGTGCTCAGTGGGCAGTGTCACCCTTTGTAATAGTTCTACAGATTCTGGCTGAAATTGTAATTTTGGTCTCCGTGACAGTGACAGCAGTAATTTAGTGATGGAGGAAAGATCTGATTAAGGCAGTTCCATCTCTTTCAGTGCCCATATTTACAGGAAGATTAAGAGGCCAGGCTGAGGTAAGATGGATAGTGTGATTGATTCAGAGGGTTCCTGTATATGTTTAAAAATGAATAATCAGTTTTACCTTTACATGTGCACTATTATCTGCTACATATGTCAGAGCTCCTGGGGTAGTCTCAGGTCCTTTAAAATTCCCAGTTATGTCCCTGTTACAATCTAGGAAAGTTTTAGTGGTCTGAAATCAAGACTGGAGTTCAGGAAATCTGACTGCAATAATTTATGAAAAATTTGGTACACCATATTTTTCAGCTAAATCTACATGAATATCTTGTCTTTGCATGTTAGCAAGATGTGTGTGAATTATATGATTTAGCATATTAATGAGAAATTCAAACCATGTTAATTCCTGGTGACAATCAGGTGTGACAGATTTGAGTCTCAGCACATGTGAAACAATCACAGGTGATTAAAAAATCATAGTGAGATATAAGTTCAGTCCTCAATTTCAAAATACCTGTTTTTTATATTTATCTATCTCTTTTCACTTACAATTATTCCATTTCTTTGAACACAAAATGTAATTGGAATTACTGACAACTTGTCACTATTCCTTGGGTTGCACTAAAATACTGAATAGTACCAGGAGCTGCAGTGCTGCTTTCCTCTTAATTGTTTTCACTTGCATTTCAGGAAAATAACAGAACTTCAAATGTAGCTTGGCCTTTAAAGACAATCTTGATAAATTTCTTCTCACTTTGTTGGCAGATGAATGCAAAATGGGCAAAAAAGTGTTAGCAGGATTGTTTGTAGGATCAGTTGTTTGTTTTCCCTCTAAGGAGAAACTCTTTCTTGGGATAAACATGAGGGAAGTGAGATAATCCATCATTCTGAGACCTGTTCACTAGTGATGGATGGATAGATTGGTAAAGTAACTCAATAATCTTCATTTTTTTCAGGTTATTCACAGATCAGTGAGCCTTGTCGTTAATACAGCTATGGAATGCTTTTGTGTCCTTGCCCACAATATTTCTCAGAATTTGACAGTAAAAGACTTTTAATTTGGAAATAACCTTTGTTGTGAAATGCATTAAGTGGATGAAACTTGGAGAATACCTTCCCATTTTAGATTTTATCTTCTCAGTGAGTGTGTGTGAATTCTTTGTTTAAAAAATGACTTGCAAACATGAGAGCTGTTCTGCTCCTTGCTATTTCTGACTAGAAATTGTGTTCTGCAGGAGTTTATACCTCATGAAGGCCTTCAGCCATTAGAATCTATCACATGGGATGCTCTGAATCATGTGGATGTTGTCAAAGTGTATTGATTGCCCATCCCTAACTAGGCACAGAAAAGTTTTCAGTCAAGAAATTGTATTGAGGGGTCAGACCTACATTGTCTTACTCATTCTTAATCATCTTGGTTCATTTTAAAAACATATTTGGAACCTAAAAGCACAAAATACAAATGCTATTGTGAGATGCTTTTTCAGGGTTTAATAATTAGGATAATAATGATAATAGGAGGGAGATGTATCTTAATATATTATTTTGTATTACCTCTTAACAGTTCCTTAGCAAAGAAATTCCTCTCTGGTTGTGTGGGGATGTGCAGATTTTGCCTTACAAGGTCTTCCTGAGAATTGTGACTCAGATATGAATATTTGCAGCACTATCAGAAGACCTGTGATTGTTTATTGCTGGGGCAGATCTGAGATGAGGAGGCAAGTTGCATTCAGCAGAGTCCTTTTTCATTAAACCAGAAGACAGAGAAAGGTAGCTTCCTAAACATGACAGAATTAGTAAAATAGCCCTTGAATTTCGTTGAGGGTTAAGAGAACTGGATTTTTTGTGTCTTTTCTGGAGGCAGAGAACACATAAATGGGTTTTATAAATGAACTAATGTTTAGTGACTGGTTCTAGTGCCTGGATTTTGTGCCTTGCCCTACAGTCCTGCACTGCACAGCTTCTCTGGGAGGGCAGAGTTGTTGTGTAATTGCAGCTGAATGACCTTGGGTGAGGAGCAGCTGCTTCTCCAGCAAGGTCCATGGGGTTTAGAGCCAGCTCCCATCCTTCCACCTCCCTGAGACAGGAGCCTTGGGAGTGCCTCTGCACTTCCCTGCCCTCACAGCAGCACAGAAACAACTGGACTCTTCTATTTCCTTTTTCTTTCTATCCCTCTCCAGCTCTGTGGCGATTTCTTAGAATTGCCACAATGCTTTAACTGTAATTTCTAGGCCACTTAAACACATTGCCTGATGATTTCTCACCTAACTTTAATATAAATCATCTGTTTCTTGAGTTTAGAATCCCAGAGAATGATTCTTAGCCTTGATTCACTAAGAAATATTGCAATATCCTTGAAAAAAAATAGGTTGATAATGTGGTTAACTTTAAGAAATAGCACTTTTATATTGTGACAAGAGTCATTAGTAGCATGGCACTTTTATCAGCAATAAGCTGCTGGTACTGCAGTTGTATAAATTACTAACAGTTGAAATTAAAAGAGATTAAACATGGGCTTATTTTTGTCAACAGAATCTCCTCAGGTTTAGAAACATCCTAAGAAATCTACACTGGCACAAAGCAAGGCTGAGGTATAGGAACATAGAAATATATGATGAATTAAGATTTTTATTGCATCATCTTATAACATTTGAATTTATGAAGTGGAATTGGATCTTGGATCTGTAAAAGGCAGCAGTGACTTCCCAAATCCCAAAACTTGTACATCACATAATAGGAGCTCAAATGTTAAAACTCCTGAAATGGTTGCACTTCAGTGCAGTGTGGTCATTCAGAATCCATGAACAATAAATATCAATCCTTGCCAGACTCTGATGAAACAGACTTTAATTACCCCTATTTTGTAATTATGGAGAGAAGTGCACAGAGGGTCCATTTAGGGTCAGTGATAAGTAGCTTTGTGCTCTAAACAAAACCAAGCACACCAGTTTTCATCTTGTTTGTTTTACTGGCAGATACTGTATTCACTACTAGAATGTTTCACAGGATGTGAATGTATATTTCAATATATGCAGGCTAAATTCTATATAATTTTCTATATTTCTATATATGCAGTCTAAATTCCATACAATCAAAAGGGGCAGTTTGTTAATTTTAAATTTGGTTCTAAAATTCCTAGAAAAGCTGTGAAATATGAAACTTCCTAAAACATGATGTGTGACTGAGCTACTTTCTTTTTTCCTAACTGCTCTCTCATCCCTGGTGGCTTTTCCTGGACCTGTAACCTTTGCTGCCTGCTGGGTCTCTCCCCATGAGAAATTTGCTGGGGCTGAAATGGGCCCAAGTCTTTGTTCTCCCCCTGCCACCCCAGGTCTGCCATTCCAGCTCCTCTTCCTGCAGCATTTCCCAGTTACAGCCTGGTTTTCCAGAAGGAAGGGGAGATCTGGGGAAAGAAATCATCTTACTGTGGGCTACGGGCCCAAAATGCTCTCTGTGAGTGAGCTCAGTGCTGGTGGGTAACTGCAGGAACTTTGTGACTGGTTTAGAATTGTCATGTTGCTAATTGGATTTAGACCATAGGCTGATTCTCTAATCTTACAGGACCTTTTTAAATTTCACAGGAATAATGAACACAGCCTGCAGGAAAAAGTCAAAATATTTGACTCTTCATCTGCTTCCTTAAGCATTTATGTCACATATTTTTCTTCCCATAGCTCTCCAAATGCCAGAAAAGCTCAGGATGACAGTGATTATTTTCTTCATCAGTTTTTTGGTGCTTTTTTGGGGAGGGGAAGGGGGAATGACGACATTTGGTGTTAGCCAGGTGGATGCACACAGTGAGTTTTGAGTTTGGTGTGGGAACCCTGTGTTGGGAAGAATAACTAACCATCAATTTTTGTAGCTGTAACGATTTGATTTGATTTGATTTGATTTGATTTGATTTGATTTGATTTGATTTGTCTGGACTCCACTTGTTAATGTTTTTAGAACATAGCAACATTGGAGGAAAGCCTGATGTTCTAGGGGCCTTTCAGGAAACAGAATTTAACATAAGAATCAGGTCACAGCTTGCTCTGTGTGTAAAAATAAATTGAAAGAGGACAATTCATTATTTCAGCACTCGCCATGTTTTCCTTTGATCTTTCTCCAAAGCTTGCAGTGCTGTACATGGTGTATTCAGCTTTAAGGAGAGAATAAAGTAGTTTTTACTATAGAAAAAAAGCACAGTTAAAAAATAGTCAATTTTTAAAGTAATCATGACATGCATTTTAGAAAGCAGAAGACAAATTATGTGCTAGAAGTAAAAATCTAGATTTTGGTGTAAAATTATTTGATACAGTTTAAGAATTCTTTCAGAGCGAACTAAGGCTAAGTCTGTAATTTGAGTGTGTTTGTGGTATCTCAGCACTGGAAATCGAGATGTCAAATGAAGAGACATTCTATTTTTGTTCAATTAATATCACAGAGCATTACATCAAAGCAGTAAACTCCTCTTGTATCAACAGATGCAGCAACCCTGAAGCCTATTTTCTCTCTTGTTACATTAGTGTTTAATTAAAGAAAACAACTAGTTGGAGGCAGTTACTTTCTGTGAAATGTAATGAAGATTTATTTTGTAAGTGACCTTCACTGTATTAGCTGAATCAGTAATCAGTAAAATTAATAGAATAATCAAATTATATACAAACTCATAAATCACTGTGAATATGCTGTCAAAAAATGCAGCTTTTAATATGTCCTATTGTTTCACAGCTGTATTAAAAATTGCAACTGCTGATTTCTGCCTCGATGGGGACTGAAATGGCATTTAAAGGCTGTGTATGATGGAGGGCTACCAGGCCAAAAACTTTCACAACTGTTAATTTAGCTGTAATATGATTTGATGTCACCGGGGCAAAGTTGAAGCTGAGTACAGTGTTGTTGCTATCTTTCAGCAAAACTTGAATTATTGGTGGAGGCAGTCGCCAGTTAATTAGAGTAATATCAGTTTAAATGTCTGTCATTTAGGGTTAATGGTATCAAAGAGTTGCCTTGTACTTCAAATGCAGTCAAATCATCTTGAATAGCCCATTGTATGAAAGTAATGCCAGCACAATGATTTTACTTTGTCATAAATTATTGGGGTGCCATTTAGTTTAATATTTCAGTTTCTGTGTTTAAATAATTTTGGCAAGTTCTTCCTAACTGTGTCATTTTTCATGCTAGGCTATTTTAATAGGTGTTTTGGCTATTTGTGATTGTTTGGCAACACAATCAAAATTCCTTTCCATTTTCATTTAAAAAGAGAAGTTTTCTGCTGGCCTATGAAAACAGGTCATGCCCTCTTCCCCTGGATAGCAGGTTACTCTTGGAAAGAAGTAATTCACATTTTTGTGCAGCCAAGCAGCAAAGTTCTTTCAGAGCACACGAGAAAAATAAAGTGCATATATGAAAAACCCCTGGCAGTGGTTGAAGTCAAAGGAAGACTGTAATTAATGTTTTTAAGTAAGGAATCCAGTTCTAGTTAAGTCAATAGCACTATTCATATATGCAAAGTTATGAAATGCATGTAAGATATGAAAATCTTATATGCAAGATATGAAATATAACTAACTCAGAAACTCCTTTGAGTTGGTTTGAAAGATTCTGATAGCTCAGCATTAGAGATAACGAACCCAAAGCTCTAGGTTCTCTAAGAATTCTTCAGTGCATGTTTAACCTTTGTGTCATCAGCAGTCTCCAAACAGCCAAGGCTGAGATTCTTGGGATGTATGTCTGGTTTTCCATGAGGAGCAGGGATGCTTTTAGGGAACTGGGTATTCCAGCGTGTCCCATGGTACTTGGTGGTGCTGACAGCTCCTTGGGCTGCTGTCCTGGAGTGCAGAGAGGGGCTTGGTGACACTGTGGGACTGGCTGGGCTGCATCAGCCCTGCAGTCAGAAGGGATTGGGGGACTGGCTCTCTTTGAACTGTCTCATCTGACATTAGAATGACAAAAAAATGCCATTTTTGGAAGTCGGGGTTGCAAACTGAAAGTTTCCAAGTTCGTCATCTGTGAAGAGATATCAAATACTTTCATTTCAAAATCACAGAATCAGAGACTGGCTTGCATTAGAAGGGACCTTAAAGCTTGTCCAGTGCCACCCTGCCATGGCCAGGGACACTTTGCACCATCCCAGGTTGTTCCCAGGCCCTGTCCAATCTGTCCTTGGACGCTTCCAGGGCTGGGGCAGCCACAGCTTTTCTGGGCACCCTGTGCCAGGGCCTGCCCAACCTCACAGGGAGGGATATCTTCCCTATATCCATATAAACCTACCCTCCTTCATTTTAAGGTTGTTCCTCTTGTCTTATCCCTGTGTCCCTTGTCCCCAGTCCCTCCACCTCTCCTGGATCCCCTTTGGGCCCTGAAAGGGGATCTGAGGTATCTCTGGAGCGTTTTCTTCTCCAGGTGGGCACCTCCAGCTCTCCCAGCCTGGCTCCATCCCTCTGATAACTCAGTGGCCTCCTCTGGACTCCAGCAGTTCCACACCTTGCTTTGGTGGGCCCATCCTGTCAGTAAATGAGTGTTAGCAGCACCTCAGTGCTGTGCCTTGCTGCCCACTGACACTGTTTGCAGTTGGCAGTGCTGCAGTAACCTGTGTTTCCTGTGTTGCAGGCTGTGTGCTGTGTTTGGGGGGATCTACTGCCTCCGTCACGCCGTGCGCTGCCTGGTGCTGGACAGAGCCTCGGGACGGTAAGGCTGAACCTTCTGTTTATTCACCAAACACAGGTGAAAAATGTCTTAAGTCAATTTAAAAAAAAAATTATTCTTCCGAGATCCTCCTTGGTATTAATAACACATCAACCTTGATTAAAAGTAATTTGTGTATAGGTCCTCCAGAACAAGGAAAGTGGGTCCAGAATATAGAAACTAAATTAATTTCCCTCTGATATTACTACAGCTCCTGATCACCCAAGCTTGGAAGACAAATCATTTCAGCTGCCGGGGGGCTGGTGATGAGTGATGTTAGTTTTCCTTGTGGCCTTACCTACTCTAATTGATTTTCATCAGATGACAACAAAGCCCTCTGTTATTGCATTTTTAAAAATGGAGCTCACCTAAAGACTCATCAGATTAATCTTTGCTGATAATGCATGTCACTCCAAGAGAAAAGACTTTAATGAGTTTTTAGGTAGATTGTTGTCATAAACTATGCTGCCCTCTTATTCCAGAATAAATTCTTTTACAACAATATCAGGCCTGTAGGCAGGTTTGAAGTTGAGCTAAGAAAAATTAACCCAGAGTTTTTTTTCCATTGTGGCATTTTTCACACCTCTGTAAATTGTTATATTTCTGTTATATATAATTTATCAAATATTAGTCTAACTGCAGACTTTGGCTGTCTTAAAGAAAAGACTCTCTTTGAGCTTAGTTTCTATAATTGAAAAGTTCAATATGCTTTGTAGAAAATTTAGGAAGTTAATTTAGAAATGATGTAGTACCAATTTATTAGGAGAATGAGTAGTTAAATGAGGGGGTGATGTGTTTACTTCCCAGTTGCTCTGCAATTCCTTGAGCACAGTCCTTGTAGCTGCATTTGTCACGACATGGTCAAGCAGTAGCTGTTTTCCCTGAAATTGGATAAAGTCCAGATTTTAGCTTTCTGCCAGTTCCTGAAGATTCTGCAGTTCACTGCACAGTTGTAGACTTTGAGATGTAAATTTGTTTCATCAGGTGTGTTGTTCCAAATGCATGATTCATATGCAAATTAAACTGTGCACCTTTCAGAAACCGTCATTTATCTTAACACTGATATTTGCACTCTTACTGTAGGAAGCTTTATGTTCCAATAAGTTTTAAATACTTAAATTGCTCTTGCAGAGGGACAAAGCTTACAGTTGGTAGCACCTTCCAAATCCCACTCTGTTCAGATCTTAACTGGTCAGTACTGGTTGAAAGTCAGAAACTGGTACTGGCTGCCCCAGTTTCCAGCTTCTGTTGCACATCCTGAAGACTTTTGAAATCAATGTTTTCCTTATAAGGTTTTATGTGTTCCAGGAGTGTTGTAGTGCTGCTTTTCCATTAACCTGCTTTTATGTTTTGAATATAAGCTCCACAGGGTTCAACATGGGTGTCAAGTGTCTTTTTTTAGGCTGCTTTTGAGGTTCACTTGTGCCATTTTAGAATGACCAATTTTTTTGAGGAGCAGAATTATTGAAATACTTCTGAAGATTTTACAAGACTTTGATTATTCCAAAAACAAAGAGCTTTTAATAATGCCATTATCTGATAGTAAATATGAAGAGGCACAACACATCCAAGATACCCATTTCCTTTATCTTCTGTTATGTTCTTGCTGTTATCTCCTTCCTCACTGCGTATTCCCTCCCTGCACCAGCTTGTATTTCCTCTTGACTTTGGGATTCGGTGTTTTGCCTAATAAAAATCAGCTATCAAGTTGTTAATGAGGCTATTTATGAGTTACTGAGCTTTTGAGTCAACAGACCATTAATAGTAATTGGTAAGAGGCAAATTCATATCTGGTTGTTAGTGCAGCTGGCTGTGTGCTGGCAGAGGCAGCTTCCCCAGGTTACAAATGGCTCACTCAGCACTGCAGAAATGCGTTGTGCAGTGGTCATTACCAGTTTATAGCTCCTTGCACAGCCCTCCAGGCTTCATCCATGTCTGAAGGCAGTGATTTTTTCTCTATTTTTAATATTCCTGATTTAATACACATAAGGAAAATATATACTTCTATCTACAGCTTTGGCTTTCTTCTAAAACATTTAGATTAGAGTTTAATTAAAAGTGTCTAAATATCATCAAAGTTTATTCCAACTTTTTTCTGGATGTGGCTAACATTGCTTTTTCACATTTTCCTACCCATGCCTGTATATACAGCAAACAGTAGATTTCATACCCAGCTCTACAATTATTTTTATCCTTTTTTTATAGTCCTTTTTATAGTTTATGGAAATAAGATTCAGGCAAGACAGAGTGAAATAATAGAAATTCTAGACATCCCTATTTTAAGGTTTTAGTAATACACTTAAAAATACCTGTTTTTTTGTGTTGTACCAGATCTGCTGTTTTAATAAGTTTGCAGAACATCCTGAGTTCTTGGTAGAACTGTGATGCTCTGTTAAAAAATAAAAACCACATCATATTTCTGAGGGTGAGGAAAAAAGCACATTGAATGCATGAATGATAATTTTGATATTTTTCTCTGTTTATTGTATGTCACTTTTCTAGGTACGTGTAAAATTTCATCATAATGGTGGGCATTTTATACTGATCACACTTCACATATGTTTCCAATTACATAATTCTGTCTTAAAATGGAAGAGATGTGATAAATGGACATTTATACATCTGTGATAAAAAGACAGAGCAAACAGCCAGTAATTTACATATCTGCTGAAATACTGCAGACTGGCTTTGTCAGTGCTGCTGAGTCCATTTCAAGGATGTCGCCCTTAGTCCATTAGTTTGGATAATGAGCCCTATAAAGTACATTTATAACTCGTGGCACTGCAAGGAGATGGATTCTAATTTTCATCCTTTTATCCAGACACATTGAAAGAAGGTCAATGGAGGGTTCGCTGTGATTCATTGTCGCAACACAGATCAGATGACAGAGACCTGATAATGTCAGTGCAGGAGTGTTGGCTGCATGTGGAAGCACTACTTGAAAGAAATTTTCTCAGCATCACCCTTTGAAGTAAAGTGGGACTGAAATTAAAAGCTCTCTCTCTCTCTCTCAGTTTAAAATCTTATCACACATATGACCTGCTGCTATTCCTGAACAAAGGAAAGGAAACAACACTTAGCAGGAAAGTAAAATGTGTCATTGCTTTCGCTGGCTTTGAGTGATGCAACATGACATTTAATCAACCTTTCCCCTTCCATAATGTTTGGGGGGTGGTGGGGAAATTGTTTCATAAACAATAAGAAAGGTTATAATTAGAAATGAGCTGCAGCAGCTCGACTTCCTTGTTTATTTGAAGTATTCAAATGAGAGCTCGAGGATGAAATCACTGGGGTTAAGAGTTAGGAAAATCTTGTTATAAGTTGCAAGTGAAACACACATTGGATAGGATTGGAAACTGAAGAATGTTAGATGTTAAACAGTGCTTGTACTCTTGTCAAGGTACCTGTTGAATTTGAAAATAGGAATATATATAAGGGCCAGATGCCTGGGAGGTCAGTGTTACAAAAACATGTTTAACAGTTATAAACCTCTTATATTTACAGATGAGGACAGGTGTGTGCACCCTTTTTCAATTCTCATCTCATGTTATAGGAACAACTGATTTACCAGAGCTGGTGGGAGCTGATTGCTATTACCTATTAAGATTTGGGTTTTTAGATCATTATAACCACAGAAGCTGACAAATACCTTTAAGTTACAGAACTGTTGTTCATTCCTAAGGCATAACTTGCCTGTCAGATCTTCCACAAATAAAGTTGCACTATGATAAAACACAGGTAAACCTGTACGTAATCTGTGGCTCAGGCATTGTGTTCCTTTGGATGTTTCCCTGTGCTTGCAGACCTGTGTGTGTGTGAGAAAGTTTATTGGTGTAAGTCCTGTGTGTTAAATTGTGAAACACTGCTAAAGTCATTCAGAATAATTTAATTTTAAGAAAAAAGTTCAGTAAAGCTAATTTGCTTTATTTATTTATGCAGTCAATGTTCTGATAGTGTAAAAGAGAGCGCAGATCATGGATCTAGAATCAGCTGTAGAGGTTGCTTTAGTGAGTATCTGTGTGCAGCCTCCCTTTTCCTTGTGTCATATATATGATATAGCTTCATATGTCATATATAAGTCTGAAGTTTGTTCTTTCATAGAGAATTTTCCCCCTTAATATCTGAAATTTGTATTCTCATTTAAGCTCACTGAATGGGGTCATTTCTGTGGTTTGCATTTCTGTCCCACTTCTATTTGTGTCCTTGTTCTATGGAGAACATTTGTGTTATTCTTAAAACTCCAGGACTTAGTTAATCCCTTTGTGTGTGACTTGGAGATAAAGGGTATATTTAGTCACAAACAGAGCAACTCACTCTTGGAACGGTCTGATGCACTCATTTGTCAGGGAGCTTTTCCAAATATCCTAAGTTAATTTGCTGTTTAATTTGTCAAATATTATTGTCAAGATAAACTTTTTTTTGGTAAAGGTGTCTTTCTGAGAAAGAAACCCTACTGCAATAAGTTGGTATCTACAAAAATAATTCACAGTTTTATTTTTTTATGTATTATGAGGTAAGAAATGTAGAACTAAATGCCAGTGTTGTAAGCTTATATTTTCTGTAAAAAGTGACCAAATTATTAAACCTGGGATATTATTATCTGTATTGGAATTGCATGTGGAAAACTGCATATACCAGGTAGAATGTGTCAGTCTAGGATTTGGTGATTAGTTGAATTGGTTTAGGGGTTCACATGTTCAAGAAATACATAGCTAAATTAATTGGAAGATATAAAGGTTGTCCTGTATAACTCAATTTTAACAACTTAGGCTTTTGTTACCTTATATGAAGATTTTTTACTGTGGTTTGTTGGCTTCTTTTTCAACAGGTGCAAAGCTATTGTGGATCATTTTGGACAAAGAATAAGTGCCAACTATTTTATTGTGGAAGACAGTTACCTCACAGAGAGCACATGCACAAATGTGTGTTACAGGTATGTAGTAAAATAAAAAACACAATTTCTTTAAATAATGGTGTGTAAAATACCCTGCAAGTTAAACTCAGGAGCCTCTTGCCTACTCCTTTATTTTTGCAGTACAGTTCAGGTCTGTGCAAAGCTTTTCTCTGTTATGAATTTCATATTTGCTAAAATGTGTTTGGAAGGTGAAGGTGCCAATTGCTGTTCTTCAAATTTGTCCAGCTTTAGATGAGTACAAAGCTTCATTGATTTCTGTGGTTTGGCTGTTGTTGCCAGGAGTTCTGGGCATGCCCTGCCTCTGGCTCAGAGCAGGGCAGCTGAGGGATCAGCAGAGCTGTGGTGCTGGGGGAGAGCAGGAATAACCCTGGGCACTGCAGGTGCTGAGGGAGCTCCACCCTGCTGCCTTTCCCCTTCATCCCAAGGCTCCTGTGCCCTCTGGAACATCACAAGGCCTTAATGTGCTGCTGCTAATCTTGATCAAATAAGCAAAAGAACTTTTGAAAAAACAGAAGGAGTCTGTTTGATGCAACTGCACTGACTCACCCACTCATCATCTGTTTTGGTCATTGAAAATACTGCATTGGTATTCCAGGTGTGTTTCTACTTCAGCAACAGGCAAAATGTCCCACTAAGAGTCATAGAAATAAAGGTTATATAGTGAAATATATTACTATGATTCTAAACTGCTATTTTTTTACAGTTTTGTTTTTGTTTTGCATAATTAAATTTATTATGTAATTATTTTTACATCATTCTTTTGTTTAATTGTAGGCAGATCTCCAGGGCAGTGCTCATTACAGATCAGTCTGTATTGAATACAGACTCAGAGCAGCAGGTACACACCAACTCTGTATCACTTGTCTCGTGTTAATATTTAGTTGTTGGTAGGAATTAAGTCATTAATTCTGTTTAGTTTGTGATTGAATCAAGATCTTTAGTCAGCTCTCTGTACTGGTAATTGTTTAATTTGTTTTAGTGTCTATAAACTATTACAAATTTTAGCTTAGTTTAGTTCAATGACTGGGATTTTCCTGTTTGGCTCACTCTGTAATTGAGTTTCTAAGCTGCTGTCTTTAATTTTAATTTTGCTTGTTTTTTAATAAACTGTTACCTTTACTATTCCATTAATTATTTATCTTGTCTAAACTTCGTTCCAAGTTCCTTTGTTTTTTTCTAAATATTCCTTTTTGCTCTTTGAAGTTCTCATTGTACACTTTAAGATTCATCTTTGGATCTGCTTTATCCTTCATTTTAGAGGATATTAATCAGTGTTGTGTTTGTTCTGTCTTAGTAAACTAGAAAACCAAATTGTGTAACTGCAGTTCCTCTTCACCTAGAGCGAGGATGGTGGTGGCTGCCGCATCATTTCTGCAGGCCACTGCTTTCCCTCCAGCTCTGCTTTCTGCTCCCCAGGTTTCCATTCTGACAGTGCCTCCCCTGGAAGTGGGCAGGGCAGCAGTTCGTGTCATTGAGTTGTGCTCCTCCACCATGACGTGCATGAAGGACAGCTGTAAGTAAAGGAGATTTTCCCCTTTGGCTCTGGCAGCTCTGGAGCAGAACTGAAAATCTCCGTGTGTTGTTCCTCTGCCGCACAGAACACAGAGAGCGGTGGCTTCCTGCCATCGTGGAGCTTCATGGGCTCGTTTTCACTCACACAGGAATAAATCCTCCTTCAGAAGATAAAAATAATAATCCACAAAAATCTTCCTGGAAATTTGTCATTTGGTTTTTTTGAAAATGGGCTCCCTTAGCTGAACTATTGAATGGTAATACCTGAAATACACTGAATTTGGGAGCTTTTTATCTTCTGACAGGATTCTGTTGTTGGTATTTTATGTGAACTTGAAATAATTGAGCAATAAAATGTTCATTTTGGATATTTATTAGAATAGAAGTAGAGGTTACCTTACCTACTGCTTTTTAACAAGAAATAAGTAACTGTAATAATAACCAATTTATTTTGCTGTTAAATAGGCTTGAACTAAGTTTTTTGCATTTGAAAGAAGGTTAAAGTAAATGATTGGCATTCAACATTACATTTCCTACTAAATAACAGTAAAAAATAAGTTTGTAATAGTGCTACAAAGCATATTGTTAATATTTATCATTTAAATAGCTGATTTCTTAAGGGTTCACAAAATATATACAGCAGGAAGTGAAACTAATGAAGGATTGATGTTCCATAAATCTAAAGTATTAATTTCAGGAGGATTTTTATGGTGCTGAAATACAAAGTTTTCTGTTATTTACTTTTATCTATAAATTCATTTCAGAAGAGAAGGTACTGCCTTCCTTAATGAAATTTGTCTTCATATATTGAAATAAGAAATTTCTATATTAGGCATAGCTGAGTTCCAGTTATAGGACATATTTCATAATTTTTTAAAAAACTCCTACATCATTATCTGTAAATGGGTTTTAACCTGACTGATTTCTCCTTGGAACAATTATTTAAGATAAGTATACAAATACATCTACTCTTTGATCACACTGCACAAATGACAGGCACATCATCTGTATTGCCACTTGAGTGGAACCAAACTCCTTCACTTGCCCTAAAAATGGAGACTATAATGATGAAATCAGGAACTGAACTCATCGTTCTTCCTGCTGGGAGAATTACTTGAAGACAAATGTTGGCAACCACTGTAACTAATGCAGTTATACCTGAGTAAATCAAGTATAATCAAAATATATACTGATGACTGTGACTCATAACCATAACCTTAAAGATAATAAAAAAAGATTTTATAGAAAGTAAATGATGTGAACTTTAGTGATTTATAGCTGAGTTTTTTGAGGAAAGAATAGATTATATTACAGTGTTTGGGATTGGAAGCATCTAGTTAAGGTTAGCATCTAGTTAATATTTTAGTACATATTCCTTCAGACAGAAGGTTTGGTCTAGGTTGAATAAAAAAATTAATGTTTGAATAGAATCTGTATGTGAGCAACCTGAAAGCAGAGGAGCATGAAGGGTTAAATTTCTGTTCCTGATGGAACCAGGGTCAAGATCTGTGTGATGTACTGGAAAATAATGATAACAAATACAGCCAGGCTTCGGAGAGAAGAGACAAAAATGCCGTCGAGATTTAAAATAACACCAGAGCTGTGCACTGCTTTTAAATGGATCAGAAATTCACAGTAATGAAAAAAAAAACTAATCAGTTTAAACTTTGTACAATGTTAAATTCGTTCATGATTGTCTGAGGACACTTCTGTGGTGAGAAGTTTCCAGGAGCAAATGAGTCCAGTAAGGTGGTTTTATGAAATGCTTTAAAGTGAGGCTTTTGAATGCTGGAAAATCAGGTGGGGTAAAGAATCTGGCTCTGTGTCTGAGCAGAGGCCAATGGGACACAAAAGGGTCAGGAGCTGCATCAAGTGATTGTCCAAGGAGGCAGCAGCTGCAGAGTCTGCAAAACAGAACAAATAAAAGAGTTCAGCAATGGTTCCTCCCATCTAAGAAGTGGATGAATAAAATGTTGTACAAAGGATTGTGGAGTCATAGTGTACATCACAGAAATAACTTAGAGAATTCTGAGGTGTTTGCAAGGAATTTCTCTGTGTGCTGTACATACGCTGTATGTCCATAGTACAGCAGTTCCCTGGCTTAAAGAAAGTGATTTTAAGAACTGTGATTTCTAAAAGCCTGCTGTGCCTTATAAAAATTGCAAATGTTCTTTATCTATCTGTGTGTTGGTGATTGGAATTAGTTTGTGTTCTCTTTTCCCAGATTTAGTCCATCTAACCTGTCCATCAACTAAAACTGCAAGGGAAGATTTAGAGCCTGTTGTACAGAAGTTATTCAATCTCAATACAGCAAAAGGTAAAAATAAATAAATGAGGTATTATGATACTATCTTGCATAAATATTATTTACTAAAGTGGCTGTTGCTGACTTCAGCTGTGGTTGAACTTCAGTATCCAAGTAAGTGTCTGAGACTTTTTTATTTTTCACACTTTCTTTTTCCCATGAAACATATTTGCTGTTCAGCACATCCTTGAAAGGTGCAGTAGTGAAATGAAATATTTGTAAAATTGTGGAAACTGCTTGGGTTGTCTTATTCTCAGACTGTTGCTCACCCTCTTGTCTTCAAGTGTTTCCTTGTTCACTGTTTGAAATTAAGTTCTCTGGATTCTGCTGTAAGCAGTGGAAGTATAAAGTTGTTCTATATTTTTGTCACAAAGATAGATTTCCAATAATTAACTACTTAGCCCTAAATTCAAGGAAACCTTGGCTACTTTTTTGAACTTTGGCCTTGAGATGGGTTTCCTCTGGGGTTCCACGCCCCAGAGGAAAGCAGCTGCTGATGGAGCAGCTGCTGCCTAGAAGGAAATTGTTCCTGAAATACTTGGGCTAATTCCACACAATTTTTTGAAATTTAATCCTGAGATCTTGAAACCATGTTTGTGGTAGATCCTCACAGAGTAGATGATGTGCATGTGGGAGATGCTGCTGTGTCTAACCCTGGCAAAAGCAGTTGAAATACCGTGTGCCGATGCTGTGAGGCAGTAAATCCCACTTGTGAGAGAAAGCAATGCTCAGCTCCCAGTGACTGGGGGTTTGTTGGTATAAATGCGAGGTACTAAGATGTGGGAGTACTTTATAACATTCATAACTGGTTTGCTTGTAATAGAAAACAGCTTGGGTTTGTAAATAGAAAACTTCATTAGACTGGAGAGTTGCAAACATTTCTCATTTGTATATGTGTTAACTTAAAGCCTGCTAATTTTCACCTCTTCATATTTAACTTCTATCTTCAAATTTCAAGACAGTGCCATCTGCTTCAAAGACCTGGTGAAGAGAAGATCAGTTTAGTGTCTTCTAATCATTTGGGGAGGGGTAGCATTAATCTTAATGTTTAAAGTGATCCAGTTTCGAAATGATAGATTGTTTAGAAGCTGACTGAAATTCTTCTGTAGGAACTCTGTGATCATAGGGGTCCTCAGGTGCACTGAGGCACTGAAAAGCCAGTTTTCCCTGACACATAGGCCTTTTTATCATCAGGATGAGGTAGTGGTCGTATTTTAATTAAAATGTCAGAACAAATACTGTTGGAGTTATTGAAAATGAATCACCAGATAAAGTGAGCACTGGGCCATGGCAGGTCAAAGAGGCAAAGTCACCTGGAGAAGAGGACTCCATTCATTTTCCTGCCTAAATGAGGAAGAAGTAACTTTTATGAGCAATGTGAACTTTTAAATATATTAAAGAGCATCTTGCCCTGTATTAAGGCTCAGACTTTCACAGGCTGATGAATTTAATTTATATTTCAAACTGTTCAGTATGGGTAGAACCTATTTTTTTTTAACTATTTGACAGTTATAAAAAGATACTGAAGGAATAGCATAGATTTATCTCTTTTTTTGTAATTCAACTGCTTTAAAATACTGTTTTGAATGCCATAGTTATCAAGAAGTTTCTTCCTTGGAAAGAAGTAAATCTCACAAGGTCTTTTACAAGCTTCATTTACTTTAGAGGAGGTAAAATACAAGAAAGGGGACAGCAAATATTCCAAACAAATAGTATCTGTTAAGCTCAGAATCTGTGTTGTGTATTCCTCCATCGCATTGTGCACTGTGAAGAAGTGACCTTCATCTTCCCAGAGCTTTTTCTGCCTGTGTGCAGGGGGATGGTAGGAATGTGCAAAGTACAGCAGGGAGGGACAGATTACGAGCAAAGAAGTTGAGTTTGTGATCATTTTGTGCTGATGGTGAGTATTGCAGCACAGTACAACCCTCAGGAAGTGTAGATAAATACAAATTAGTCATTTATTTTCATTTAGCAGCACTGCCAGAATTAGAGATTCTATGTACAGAGATAAACTATGGAATGAGGGAAGAAATGACACATCAGAAATATCTGTGCACAGAGAATGCAATGCCTTTGAGCTGGCAGAGCTCAGGGAGGACTTGCTCAGTCTGTCATGTGCTCTAGGAGTTTATCCCCAGTGAAGGAGATAATGTGAGAGGTGTTAAATTTAAACCAGGCTTCTTGGTAAGGTCCTTGTAGTGATAACTGCTGCTGGTGTGGTGTAGAGTGTGCAGAGAGAGTAGAGTTTGCATAGCTGTGCTTGGAGAGGAACGGGAAAGAATTATGAAGGAGAATCTCAGAAAGTTCAATAATTGGCTTTTTGAAGAACAAAAATACTTTATTACAGTAATTCCATGGTAAAAATTTGATTTCCAGTGTGCTAGATTACATTTCTACCTCATCACACAACACCACTGCTTACTACAAACACTCCTTTTCCTTTTCAGAGACTGAAAATGAAGAACTGGAGAAACCCAGGGTCCTCTGGGCAGTCTACTTCAACATGAGGGATTCTTCAGGAGTTGAGAAGAGTTCCTATGCTGGGTTGCCCTCCAACGTTTATGTCTGCTCTGGGCCAGACGCTGCTTTAGGAAACGACTGTGCTGTCAAACAGGTTGGGCAGAGCAGATTTTGGTTGCAGAACTTTAATTTTAAAAAAATAAGTCCAATACAATCTGGGTTATTCTGCTGTACAAAAATATAGATGATAACTTTGCAAAAGTACATAACTAGGTGGATGGAGAGATCAGGAAATAGTCACAGTCTTTGACCTGGAAGGTAAAGGAGGAGGTACAGTGCAAATGAAAGCCAGAAAATCCTGTCTACAATTCAAGTTGGAAGGATCACCAAAGAAGTTTAATACTTGCAGGACATAGTCCAAAACCAGAAACTTACTGGGGAAAAATCCAACACAATTGCTAATATTGTAGATCAGGCCTCCTGCCTCAGTTTTCCTTCTCTTTGCCTTGGTATCACTGTAAAACAGAATTTTCCTTTCAGAGGTCCCCTGGATAAGGAAGGTACAAATTCTTGGGCAGATCTAATCCAGCAGCCCCTGTGGTGTCAGGGCACTTTCAGAGACAGGAGAACACTTCACAGCTGTGGAGGATTAAGTGTCACTAGGCATTTTTAAAGCTGTGTTTTTAATGGCCATGTTCTGACAATGTGCATGCCATCTTCTAGCCAGTTGCAGCATTTTTTATTACTAAGTCATAAACCTCTTAAAAATAAGATTTTGAAGTGAAAAGGCTGACATAGCCTGAACTGCAGGGTCAGAACAGTGTCATTAAGGGCTAATAGTATCCTTCCTTTTGCTTTCCAAGGCAATAATTTGCCTCCCTGAGGAATAAAGAACTGTAAAGACAAAAAAATAATGCGAGACAATTATTATAGTAGCAGTTTTAAATTGTAAATGAGTTTCTTTCTAAATTTGATTTTTTCCAAACTTGTTTAAAACAGGTTATGTTAAAAACTAACTAAATACACTTAAAACCCACCTATTTCTGATTCTAACATTTCTAGCATTCAGGTTTGTCTTCCCTTCAGAGCTTTTCTTCTTACAATGAACAGTGATGGGATAGATCAGGCCCTTTTTAAATATTCTTGGTGCTGTAGTTCACCTTTCGTGTTTAAACTGTTGGCTGTCTAAGGAGATCTAGGAGGAACCATCAGGAGCCTAAATCACTGCCTTTTAGACAAAAATAGGCTGCATTTTTTGAATCTGATATAAATTTTGAAACAAATGGTCACAAGTGGGAAATACTTCAGTGTAAACACGTTTGTAATTCAAAGTGGTGTATGAGAGCAAAGTGAAGAATATGCTGAAGATGAGACAGGAGTCACACCATGCAGAGGCCTTGTAGACAAGTGGAGGAGGGAAACAGCTGTAACTTGGTTTGTCTTCCACTCCCAAATCACTCTCACCCTCCTAGGAATGGGATGGGAATCTCCAAACAGGAGATCCTTGCAGACTCATGGAGCTTGAAAAAACCTGGTGTGTGTGTGTTAGTCTTGAAGATAGCTTGGAAAATTATATCTGATTTCTCTAATAATTTTGTTTTAGTGGTGCTGTGATTTATTTCTTCATTACTTATCAGTATTTCTGAATTCTGATTGTCATGCTGTGTGATTGAACTGCTGATACATTATTAGGAAGGCAGGACCACAGCTCTTACAGACAACTGTCCATCTACACCTCATACACAAATTACTGCTCTCTTGTTCTGTTGGAATTCTGTGCTCAGTTTCTGGTGTGATGCTGAATTAATGCTGGTTGTTGCATTTATTTGCCCTGAGGAGAGGCTAAATGAAATGAAGATGCCATTGATGATCCTTTCAAAGTCTCTATGTGTGGATCCAGTAAAGCATCTGGCTTCCAGTTCTCTGTGTTTTCACTGCTGCAACCTGACATGAATTATTATGAGCTAAAGTAATATATCCCCTGACATATTTCAGACTTCTGAGGCATCTTCATGGTCATGAGAGGATGTACTAAAACTGTCAGGCCAATATTTGTCCTTTAACCTGTTTATTTTCTTTATCTGGAAGGATTTCAGAGTTAATCAAGTGTTGTTAGTTTGGTTGTGGTCCCTGTAAAAGTTGCTGTGAAAGTCCACACAGTTTATCCACAAGTTGGAATGCAGTAAAACAGGTACAGAACCTAATTTTATTCAGCTCCAACTTACTGGAGTTGCTGTGCCTGTGTCTTAATGCTGGATTCTACTGGACACACATTTCTCAGCTGATGCTATTAAATATTAAAGGCACTATTGTCTACCTTAATTACTTACATTAAATATCAAAGTGTTACAGTGAAAGAGTTGTCCAATCATTATTGTTTATTCTGTATTACTTCAGCTGGGTAAGGTTAACTTAAAAACTTGGGAGATCTGGAAGTGCTTTATTCCATTAAATTGCTCAGTGTAATCAGTGTTATGATGTCCTACAAACATTCTTCCCATGTCATTCCCAGGAGAATTTCTTCCTACATTCAGCCTCGTAACTGTTTTGCCATTTTTGGGGTGGATATTTGCTGACTGATTGGACTGAATAATTGTTGAGCACTGCATAGGAAATGTTTGTCTGCTCTAATTTGTCATATATTTAGTTCAAAAGACAACATCTTCTTTCAGTATTCTATTAAATGCAGTAGTAGTTGAAATGTATTTTTGGAGTAGCAAGGACAAGTGCAAACTTGAAATTAAAAGTTCTTCTCATGCCTTCAAAAAGTTAAACCCAAGCTTTTTAGAATGTTGTACCCCCTTGCTCCCCAGACTCACTAGGCAAGGTTTTCAAGTGACAAAAATGTGGTTTTGAAGTAGAGAACAGAATTTTTTCCTATACTAATATAAAAAATTTGAAACAGTTTTGCAAGAGTATGGAAGAGTAAAATTTAGGAAGGAGAGTGAAAATTGAAAATTGAACTGAGAGTAGACAGGGTGGTTGAAGCAGTTGGTAATGGAGTCCTGCATCCACGTGCTGCTGGTGGAAGCCCAGTGCTGGTGGGCAGTAGAGTTCATACCAGAGAGCTCTTGGGGACAAGCTCAGGGATGGATTCATCTGCAAACAGTTCCCTCTTGTCCAGGATTCCTCCTGGTGTAATGGGCCTTTCCAGGTGGCACAAAGTGAGCCCTGTCAGCTTGGTGGGGCAGGGCCTGGAGCAGGAGGAGTATCAGGATTAAAGGCTTTGCTGCCTGTGTGGGAGCTCTCATCACAGGCTGCTGCTGGGGATGGGTCACTCAGCAGACAAGTGAAAGGGGAATATTCCTCTGCTTCCTTAGAAACCCAGCCCAGCCCCATGATCTGCTTCAGGTGTCTAGGCTTGCCTTAGAAGCTTAAGCACTTGGAAAAGAAAACCTTGATGGAAATGTGGACGGCATGTGTATTCAGTAAATAAATTCCCAATGTCTCAGGCTTTTTTTATTTTGAATTTATTTATAAGATAACCTTATAGATGGGTTATTTGTACAAGTACATGTAAAAGATTTTAACACTAGTTAATAGAGTTTCTTGTGTGGTTTTAAAGGATTTTTTGCCTCCTTTGTTTGTATAAAATGTCTGGTTCTCTGGAATCCTAAGGTTGGTTCTTTTTTCTCCCAGATTTGGTAGTTGTATTGTCCATGTTTTAATAACACACTGATGTTCAAAAAATATGCTTTTTTTTAATATCTTCCATTGCAGTGGCCAAAAAACTTGTGTGTATTTAATTTCTAAACCTTGATGGCATGAAGAGCAAGTGCAATTAATTGTAAATTAACTCCTTGATCTAGACCTGTCTTTCTTACCTAAAACACAGTTCCTTTCACACATACAGGTCTGTGCATGTAATACCTTGGAATTATAGATTGGATTTTTAATAAACCACAAATGTATTTGGATGTATTTTCAATGGTAATATTCCATTGGATAAGAGTAGCTCTTTGCTGGGCTATGCTTAAGTTGTTCAGAAAAGAAAATACAGAATTTTTTTTGCAGTTTTTTAATTTAAGAAGGAAACCTATATAGCCATTATATGGATTGTACATATGTGTACAGTTCCCTGGGTTTCCTTCTTCCATGAAATGGATCCCTCTCTGGAAAGGGCCAAGATCTTTCCCATGCTTCGCCTTGGACTGCAGCTAGGGATGGTTTTATAGTTCAAAAGATCAGTTGGTTCCCAAAAAAATCCTCTTTCTTGTTCTCAATACAACACAGAATGACCAGCATTTTTTACAAAGCCCCATGCTGTGACTTCCTAGTAGAACAATGTAAAAAGATAAATTGCTTTTTCTCTTTCGAGGTCTGCAAGAAGGAATGGATTTCCCATGTGTTTACAATACTGTCAAAGTACTAAATCACTATTGATCTGAAAAAATGGAGGTTAATCTTAAATATCTGTAAAATATTGCCTCAGGGTGTTACATTTCAAGGTAAAGTTTATGTTATTCTTCTTTTTCCTGAATAGGCTGAGACTATTTTCCGAGAAATGTTTCCAACAGAGGAATTTTGCCCCCCACCACCGAATCCAGAAGATATTATTTATGATGAAGATGAGATTGAGCCAGAAGAGGCTGGATTGAATAATTCACCAGAGACAAAGCCTGACTCCCCAGCTGAGGAGAATGAATGAATGAATGAATGAATGAATGAATGAATGAATGAATGAATGAACGAACACTGTTCTCTTAGGAGAAGAGGAGGTTGACCCAAACTAGGACATAAGGGAGGAAAGGCAAGAAGAAGAGGTTTAAAACCCCCAGAGATGTGTTATTTGCCATTGCCTTACTTTGCTTAGCTTGGATCATCTTTTTCAAGTATTTTCATTGATAACTGAGGCACTTCTAATCAGTCATAGGTCCACCAGATCCAGTGGGGTTTGTAGCTAGACAAAAAAATACAGACTGAAGCGTCTGAATTGGAAGTGCTACAATAGGACTCATGACTTACTGAGATAACTTGGTTTTGTTTTGCATCTTGGAAAGAATCCTCCATCTTTCAAAGAGGCAGCAAGTCAAAACTAAGCAAAAGAAAAAAGTGCAAGTTTGTTTACCAGTTAGAAGATGATTTCTACTAAAATTCCTTGGATCTCTGCTAATTAAACAGCTGAAGGTGAGGCTCACCATCTGTCCTTCACAGTGGTCTTATGAATGGAATTTAAAGGCAATAATATTGACAGTTCTGGAGTGGCTTTATTATATGGTTTTGAAACTGATGCCACAATAAAGGAAATATAACCCAAAAGATGTTCCTCATGGAGCTATTTTACATTCAGTTTTTTCGGTAAGACCTAACAGATAACACTCTTCCACTAGTGACTTCATTTACTGGAGTCAGGAAAATGGCAGAATTTAAACTTAATGCCAGATTTCCCAGCAAAATTGAAAGTCATAAATGGAGCATTCCTGTTACTAGTCTCCCTGGATTTGTTGCACTCTTTGGGCCTTTAGTAAGCCAGTAGTTACTTTTTGAAGTTTGGGGTCTGAGAAGTTTAAATGACCATCAACTGAGGGGGTTTGTGGTGGAGAGAAGGTTCAACTAATAGTTCCAAAGGTTTGTATTAATAGGATTAAAATTAGTGTGATAGCTGTAAACTATGCATTTTGTAATGATAAATCATGAAGCATTTATACAATAAAATTTATTGAACTATTTATAGACCTAGTTTGTATGGAAAAAACTACAAAATGAGAAAGCTGTTGTAAATGACCATGTTAAACTTGCACTTCTTCTGAACCATGCTTGAAATCAGATATGAGAAGTATTTATTATGTACTTAAAGATTTACTTTAAATTGCACACCCAGTAGATCAGTAGTATCTCTAGAGTTGATAAGTTGGGGTTTAAACTTCTTCATGAAGGTAGAGCCAGTTCCAGCAGTGCTTAAATACTGTAAGGAAATAAAAAATGCCATTGAGTTGTGAACATTGAGCTCTGCCTGGCTGTGCCTCAGCCAGGCTTCTGTACAGTCCCGTGGTGCCTGCCCTGAGCCTGGCTCCAGGCCAGAAAGGGGAATTTATTTATTTTTTTACAGCATAACTGATACTGTTCTCTTTGTCCTGCATCGTGTCCACTGTCCAGTTTGCATTTCAGGGTTAGTGTTTGCACCCTTTGTTGGATAGGTACCAGTAAGTGTGTGTCTGTGTGTGCATAATCCCAAAGTCCTCAGAAAAACACACAGCTGGAACATTTCCAGTGTTCAAAAGCTGTAACCTCTGGATGCTTGTGATTGAGCAGTTATTTATATATATATATATATATTAATAAGCAGGCTGCCTCTTCATTTAGCTTTAATTTCTCTGTGTATTGGGAAGCATGAGTGTGGTGATTGTATTTAACATCTACAGATGTGTAAAGAGCTAAGTGGAGGGACCTATCCCTGTTTGTCTCCCCAAAACAGGGATCACAGTTGAATCTCTCATCTGTGTTTACAAGGAAATCGCTTGATGAAAATTAAAGGTTTGCTTGCAAGTGCATTGTCCTGTGTTTTCTTTCGAAGAAATACAGTTCATTTTTAGCTGGGATTTCCTGAGAATTCTCTTGGCTGCTTTCAGCACGAGGACACCTGTAACTGACAATGTGGGCACCTGTGTTACCAAGTTTGTATCAATTCATGTCTGAGTGCTCTGTGTCCATGTGAAGCCAGGTTTGGGAACAGTGCAGGTTTGATTTGAGAGCCGGTGGAATGATGTACACGTTGGAGGCTATGACTTTACACTACATTGATTGCTTAAAAACTGTTTTCATGTCTCTTTCATAGGGTGAATGGAAACATTAAATGTTTTTCCTATGGTACTTGAGTACCCAATAGTTCACTTGCAGGAGCAGTAGATCAGACTGTTGATGTTGGCATTTTACAGAAATCATGCTCTGAAGTGCATTTTGTTCTTTCTTTAAATGATGTAAGCATGCAAAGTGAGGGTTAGGCTTATTTGAAGTCGTTTTTAAGGCTTGTCATACAGGATGTATTCAAAAGATAACATGACTTTTTAAAAACTGGCAATTTATCTGTAGGATTATTAATAAATCAAGTTAAAGAAAGATAAGGTTAATTGAATTTTTAAACAAGTAGCTGTATTATCCTTCAAGCACCTTGGAGCTCATACAATATTCACACCTTTTTTTTCCTAAGGAGTGCTTTGATATGTTTGAATTCCTTTTTTAATGAGTACTTTCTTTTTAAGTTGCTTAATTAGATTAACCCTTCATATTCAAAGAGTCCATTTTAAGCCATTTTCCCTTCTGTAGCACTGCCTGGGCTGTAGGACTGCTGGTGGTTACTGCTCCTGTGGAGGCATTTTCAGCCATGAAGCTGCTTCGTCTGCTTTTTCTTGTGATGATGATGCTTAGGACCATTTGACAGGTAATCATTAGAACTTGGATCCTTGCAGACTATGGGGTCTTTTATCCCATCATTTCAGGGGGATTTATGTGGGCAACTCCTATTAATGTTAATGGGACTTGCATGTGTAAATCCTCCTTGCATCAATGGGAAAATTGACCCCTGAAACAAAATATCTGCGTGTTAGACTTGCTGATTCAGAAACATCCAGGCACTGCCAGCTCCCATGTGGAAATGTGCTGGAACATCTGCTGTTTCACTGGATTGCTCTGGGGGAGTTTTCAGGATTTTCTCACTTACATTGTATTTTATATTTTCCATAGACTGAATCTTGTCAGAGTTCCTCCAGTGATTTTCTTTGTGTAGATGGGAAATGCAATTTCCCATTCCACACTGAGCAGGTTGCACAGCTCCTTGGATTTGATCTCATTTTATTTTAGCCCCCTCTCTCTTCCCTCTAAATCTTTTTGCTTCAGCAGTGTGAGTTGCAACAGCTTAATTTCAAGAATAATTTGCTAGTGATGTATTGATTAATGGCAAGTCAGAAGTATTAATGTACTGTTTTCACACAATGAGAGACTGGGTCACTTACAATCCATAATCTCTTCTGGAGAAAGGGTAAAACTAATTTCCTCAACACTCCTGTGTGTGCTTCAATACCTTGGCAGTACAAATGAGAATGTATTTTATCTGTGGATAAGTTTACTCATAGTGTATTGTGTGTGGTGTCATTTACTCAGTTACTTCTGTAGATATTTTATATAATCTCTGCAGTGCATTTTCAGTAGCAAGTCATCCCTTGGATGTAAAAAGTCTGGTGTAAACTGCTCCAGAGATCTCTCCTGGCTTTTCTGCCATAGTGAGTGCTCTCTTCATCCATTAATTATTGAAAAGCTCTGCAGATTCTGGTGGGTCATCTTCTGTTCATGTTCCTTTTTTAATTATTTCTGATGATTTTGTGCCTGCCATTAATACAGTTGCTAATTTTTCAGCAAGGGGAACAATTTGCTGAGATCACATCATGAAACAGTTGATCTGTGTGTGTGTATCTACAATTCCTAACAATTCTTTTCCAATGGATGTATATATGAGCCTTGTATGACAATATTAATGATTCACAGAAGTTTATCACTTAAACTTTTGCAGAAACCATCCACTATAGAATATCCAAATGTTAGAACTACCTGTGTTGCCAGAATTATCAAAAATATGTGTGGGAGTTGTGGTGGCAGAGCAATTGCCTGCATTCCTGGGGTAAGCAGTAGTGCCAACTATCTGTGGCAAGATGTAGAAGTGGTTGTGACATTGAAGCTCAAGACACTGATGTAAAACATTCATTTATTGCAACCCAATTTAATAGTGAGCTTGCTGCAGTGATCAGATGGAAAGCTTAGCTTAGGTGTGTGATTTCAAGAACTTTTCTAATGTGACCAAAAGTTGCCGTAGAAGGATTCTTTGAGCTGCAGAGGTGAGTGGTAGGAAATGGTCAGCCATGTGGAATTCATGTTGTCAGCCTCATCTCCAGCAACAAAACAACTCGTGGAAACAGAGCTTATTAGCAATTCCACCATTATGTTTATTTACAGGCTGCCAGTTCCTGTTTGTAAGAGTGAATGGTTCTTCAAAATCTGGTTGGAGAGCCTGGCAGGAATGTTGTAAATCTCACTGACATCTGAGATTTAGAAAGTTGACAGTGAAGTATCAGGAAGATGCAGTTGTTGGCTGCATGGGAGTTCTGATCAGAGGGGACTTTAATAGAAAATACTCTTCCTGTCACAATTCCAACAGACAATTTATTTTACGCTACTTGCATACATTGACAAAAGAGATGGAAAGTAGCAGCCTGAGTGTATATCAGACCCAGATGGATTTGACTAAACAATTCAGGAAGTCTCAGAACACCCACATTTCTAGATGGAGATTTTCAGGCTCTCATACTTCCTTCTGAAGTGCTACCCCGTAGTTCACTGTAATTTTGGGTCTCTGGAGAAGGCCTTGGTGCGGTTCCTACATTCTGTAGGTTAACACTTGAGGAACTGGAGTGGGCCAAGCCTGTGGGCCTCCATCTGCCCTCTGAAACAGCGCAGGCTTCTCTGCTGGCAGGAGAGCAGCTGGCATCAAACAGATGCACCTTTGGCCTTTTGAGGTGCTTTTGTGCTGCTCCAGCTGCAGGAGCTGTGTCTCACTCTGGGGTGAGCGTGAAGCTGCTCTGGGAAATGCTCTCCTGGGAGTGGCTCCTGGCTGGCTCTCAGAGCTCGGTCAGTAATGAGGGAACATCTGGGTAATGCTGTACCTGCAGCTCACCAGCACCTCAAAACCAGTGAACAAACCATAAACCAGCCTGGGTTTTGCTGCTGAGCTGGTAATTGTACCTGCTGATGGCTAGAGGGAGGAACAAGATTGTAATCACTGGAAGTTTGAGTCTGAGAAAGGATACGAGAGTCTTCTCTGAAAAACCAAACTTGAATTTAAAATCCCAGATCCAAACCCTCCTGGGCTGTTTTAGACTGTGTGCATAAGAAACTCAGTAATGGCTAATGTGGAATTCTGCATCTTTTCTGCCTCAAACCCAGCGTATTTCTGGAGCTCACCCAGGGGAAAACCATTTAATCACAATGTGAGAGCAGCTGTCAGCCCAATGCCACCAAAGAGCTCCCTGCTCTGGGAACTTCTCCCTGGCCTGAAAGTCCCTGCAGGTCATGGTTGATTCCTTTGTTGTGAATGAATTATCCAGTGAATTCAGCCTTTTTTTTCTTGTGCAAAAATTTGTGTAAGCCCCAGCTAAGTACCTTCAGTGAATCATTTTTAGAAAGTAGATTATCCAGGGAGAATCCACTATGGGATTCTTACAGCAATTTATTAACTTAAATCATGAGGTATTTTCCTGCTCCATATTTGGATGGTGAAATAATGCATAATAATGAATGCACCACTTTTAAAATCACATCAGACATCTTTAAAAAAGAAAAAATGGCTTTATGAAAAATATTAAAAAAACTAATTTTAGGGAAACCACTGTAAAATGAATAAAAAAAAAAAAAAAGAAAACCACCCTCTTATTTTGGTGACATTTGTACATGATTTCTTTTTTTTCCTATGGAAGTTTTAAGCCAGGAAACATTTGATTCCTTGCCAGACTCTGAGTCTGATTCCAAAATGAAAATATGAGCATGGTAAGAGCCAGCAGCCTTCTCAGTTGCATTGTGAGGCCATTCCTGTCTGCTGAGGGACCACTTGGCATGCACAGGTCTGAAAACACGTGCACAAAGTGTCACGAGGGGGGACAGAGCAGGACTCACATGAGGAATAACTCCACCAGCAGATTGTGGATCCACTTGAGACTCCAAAAACATGGATTTTTTTTTTTGGCTCTGGCACCGCTTTCCTCACTGAACAAGGCTGAGTCGTTTCCCTTTAAAGGTGTTGTAAAAAGGTGTGAAATAGGGACAGGTATTTTCTGAAGCCTTTTAGGAGATCAGTGAAATATAAATGTATTTGAGAAAGAAAATGAAGAGGGGTAATGATAACCATGGAAATGGATAGCAGGAAAATTTGAGTGGAGGGGAAAATGATCTGAGGAGAAAATCCAGTGTAACTCTTGGAACGTGACTGGGATAGCAAATGTTTTGTTATTCAAGTTCCTCATTCCATCCCTGACATTTCTCATGTTTCTCAAGTGAGGTTTCACCAATCAGCACAAACTCTTTGTTTACTGCTTAATAAAAATAACCAAATTATCCTTATTTTATGAAATCTTTTTCTGATTATGCATATTTTGCTGGCAGATTGTAGTGCATATTGCTTCATTGTTTAATTAGGACTTAATGCTAATGTCATTAACATTCTATTTGATAATTCAGTAGATTGCCTATTTATAGACATAATGAAAGTTGTAACTTTTTGTAGTGAAGTGCTTCTGACTGTGCTATTAAATTAAAAATAAACTTACTCTAACCTGACATTGGCTTTCAGTTTCATTGGCCATGGTCCAGTGAGTCTGAAAAATGGTGCTGCATGCACTAAACATGGGGGCTTTTAATTATTATATTTTTGGTTGAGTCTGACTCATCCTTTCCTTTGAGGGGAAAAATAAAAGAAAGAAATAGACCAAACTAAGCAAGAATCTCAGAAAACTGATCTAAAGTTTGAAATACTTTCCTTGAAGACAACTGGGATTTGGAGCACTGAATTTAAGTAACTGGAACCTTGTCCAAATTTTATTTGGTGATACAGCTTCTAAATCAAGTAATTAGACAGCACTTTACCTCTCAGTTTCTTAGCACAAATATGGATATGTGCTTTATTTGTGGCTGTAAACTGCAAAATAACTGCTGGATTTTGTACTCCATGTAATCCCTTTAGTAGGAACAATAAATTCTATGGATTTCTCTCTTTATGGCTTTTCCCTAAGTATTTGTAAAATATTATTTGCATAAATTATCTTTTCTAGGGAGATGTTCAAATAAAAGCAGTGAGTTATATTCCTGTCACAAGACTTAGTAAGCAGAGCCCTGTTCTGGATATTTCACTGTTGTCCTTAAGTCCTTAACTTATATTCAGTTACCTGATTATGCACATTCTTATTTTAATTCACCTTTTTACAGCCTGAATTCTGCCTATTTGTAGGGCTCATTTTGTAAACTTTGTAACATGTCCCAGTTTAATTAAAAGGGTCTTTTTATTGTGCTCTTTATACTCTTTAATCTTTGAGTTAAGGTTTAACAGTGCCAGGCCAAGATTAATACTGGAGTAATAAGTGAGAAGTAAAGTAAAGAAAAATGTAAATGCTGCTGGTGCCCTCCTCCTTTTTGTGCACACATGGAGTGTGTGGTGGGGGGAGTAAAATTTGAGAGGTGCTGAAATCGTTCCTGCTTGAAGCTTTGCAGCTCTGGGTGATTTTCTCTGGCCATGCTGGGCACCACCAGGGCCAGCTGAATGCAGCTCTGGATGGGAGCTGCAGAATTCTCTGGAGCTTAGAGGAACAGGAGGCGAGTCTGGAGTCCCTGCTGGGCCCCTCTGTCCTGTCCTCCTCGGGGATTTTGCAGAGAAGACCAACCCCAAACCAGGTGAGGAGATTTCTGCAGGAAATTTTGTTCCTTTCTGGAGCCTGAGGAGCAGGACTGACTCTGGTGCCTTAAACCTCTTCATCCTGACACCAACAGACGCTGCACTTAGAAAGCCACTTGGAAAGGTTTTTAAAGGATTATTGGAATTTTTGGATTACCACAGATGAATTCATTCTCTTTCACAGAATTGAATTACAGCATCTTATCTGCTGCTGCTGTATTAATAAAATGTCTGAAGCCAGCCTTAAAGCACAGTTCCTTTGTGGAGAGACTTTAGGCAGGAAGGATTTCTCCAAGCTGCGTGTTTTTCTGAGTAATGTTGCATACAGACTGGAGATTGCTTCTTATATTGAATTGCACAATGAAAAATCAATCAGTTTAATGGTTGACAAACTTTGACATTCGAATAAAAATGTTGCTGGTATTTTCATAAAGACCTGTAGGCATGACTAGATTCAGCAACTTTAATTTATGCAGTAGTGAATGTCTGCCAGAACATTGTACAAACGACTGTATAATGAGGCAATAATAACCACCAGGAACGGAAGGAAAGCAAACAGAGGCCAAATCTCTCCATTTTCACAGATTATATAATTTCACAAAGCCTTTCAATGTAAAATATGTTCCTATGGCTTCCTTTTCAACACCATGTTCTGTTTGGAAACCAATTGCTCAAAATAATCAAAACAGATTTATCTGAGGCTGTTGTGTAGCATCAGATGACAGTGTTTGGTTTTTCCACAGCGTGGTGGTTCTGACTGTTCAGGGATTTTTACTGGGAGAAATCCCAGTAGGGGAAGAGGAACCTTCATTCCTGATTTCTGCTTTTAGTGTGTGTTTGAGCACAGGGAGTGCTGAGCTGTGCTGCCTTTAGGCTCTGCCTTCCCCAGCAGGAGGCTGAGGAATCCCATCAGCCTTGTCTGGCTGCAGGATTTCCAGCATCCCTCAGCCTGAGAGATTCATTCTGCCTCCAGCCACTTCACTTGGCTCTTCCCTTGCCCTGTGCCTACATCCTCCATGGAAATTTCCTCTCTTGTGTCTCAAACCGTGACACTCAGGAGAAACAAAGGTTAATTTAAGAGCTGGTGACTTGTAGATGCTGGCTGTCTGCAATTGAATACAGCTGAAGTAGAATTCTGTTTACCAATTGATTCTTTCCCACCCATACCCTTGGATTGCCGAGCATGGCTGGCAAGTGAAGGTCTTGGGGTTTGGCTGGGACAGCTTTAGGGCTTTTTTGTTGTCTTCAAGGTAGTGATTGTGTCTCTTTCTGTTTCAGTATTGTCTAATAAATATTATATTAAATAATGTGCCAGGACTCTCATGTTATCCCTGCTTAATCTTGCCTTTTCTCAAAGGAAATAATCTTTTTCATGTCAGGAGAGTATTCCCTTTTCTTTCCATGGGATTCATGATAATTATGCTTCTTTGCCACCTTTAACACTCTTCTGATTTTTGGCTCGATATGATGGCTGATATTTAGTATCTCTGTTTTATAACTAGCAAAAACAAATTGAAGAAGTTAATTGATTTCCCTATGGAATAAACAGTGGAGCACAGATTAAAGCATTGTTCCCATTTTATCCTTCCAGCTCAAATTAGAGATAAGTCACTCTATACCTTTGATTTTTATAGTAATCTGTGTGGTGAACTGCCAGCACTTCTCCATCAAGAAGCCTGCAGTAGATTTTATTCAAGAACTTTCCATTCCCAGGATGTTAATGCCTAGATGGAATCTAGAATGGCTATTCCCAAGTGTTAAAAAGTTTGGATTGGTTTTTGTTTTGTTTAAATATAACTGCCTGTATCTATTTGTGGGGACAGGATTTCTTTCCCTGTTCTACACGTGAATGGACTCTTAAGTTGTGATGTAGAGAAGAGGCTGGTGTCAAATTCCTGCTGCTGCCTTTGAAAATTACCCCTAAAACTGTTCTGTCAAATGAAGTGATAAACACCAGATAAATTCTGGCGATTTTAGTGCACTCAGAGCTGCTCAGCTGCAGATGCTCTTCTGCAGAAAGTTGGAGGGAAAAGTCTTTTACATCTCATGGTGGATCTCCTAAACTCCCAGGGAACCAATAGCCACAGAATACAAAAATATCAATCAAAAAACCAAACTTCCTAAACGTGGTGATTTGTGTGGCTCTGTAATTTACATTAAACATCAAGGCCTGAACATGATAACTCAGAATTGAGACTGATACTGCTGATCTACAAAATGGGTCTGTTCTGTGGATGTTATATAAAATATGAGCAAACTGAGGCTGCTGCTGGCTTTCAATTTATAAAATACCCAACGCACCAACAAATAAACAATGGGTATTTCAGATATTTCAGATCATGGATGAGTTGCTGGTTACTTTTCCTTAGTGCTGGAGTTGTAGGTGTACACAGTGAGCTTTCTGCAGTGTCAGACAGTGATTAGTTATGTGAAAAATGAGTTTTAGTGGGTCTTTTGCATATCACCATTTTTTTGTTCATTGCTCAAATGTCAGCTTAATTTTCATATAAAAACCACATCCTAATTGCATTTTCAGTCTAATGTGCTCCTAGGTGAAGCTTGCCTGTAAAGAATTGCTTGGATTTTACTCCCATTTTACTTTGGCTAAAATGACTATTTTATTTATTGAAAATTCAGAGACCTGTGGGGGAAGGAATCTAGCTTTAAAATTCTGCCAGAAGATATACAGGACTTATATTATTTTCTAAACACAGCTTCAGTTTTGGCAAGCCAGCCTATGTAACATTGAAGCTGGAGCTTCATAACTAAAGAACCAAGTAATTAAAAATGAAGCCACAAAACTTTCTCCCTTCTCCTGACTAAAGCATCCTTCCTCAGCAATAGAACTCAAACAGTTTGCTAACCTCCAGCACTTGTGGCAGCAGCAAAATTGAAAGTATTTTTTGTCACCTGCACTGCTGTCAG